GACTAAGTGCCGACAAGAGTATCCTAAAATAGCCTTCGAAATTGCCACAATCGGGAATCGAATACACTGTTTAAGCAGAACCTACTATGACAGGCTAGGGTGCATATACCCAGACGGCTAAATCTGCAAAAGATAAGACGATGTTCTGCTTGCAAGGCAGAACTCGGAATGCACATTATATAGTCAATGTCAACCTATGACACTTTTGCAGAAACATGGCCTGGGTAGTGTAGTGGTCTGCCACCGCCGTAACAGTAACATGAAATCACATCAATTTCTACTTCAATTCAATATTATGGAATTAATTTATTAGATTTATGAATGAACTAGCGTTATGTTAATTTAATAATTTTAATATAAAACCTAATTATATAAGATAAACTTTTTGAATTTATTAACAGAGGAATTTAATTTCTTCTATAACGTAAAAAGTGATCCTTTTCAAAATTACTTATTAAAGTTTCGCATTTTAAGCAAATTTTTTTAAAAAAAGTTTACAACTCTTTCTATATGTAATATAATTAGGATTAGAGTAAATAAATTTATTAGTAATAAAAGTTTAGCTAATCTTTTCAATTTTAGATTTTTTTCTAATTTAACCTCTTATCAATCTATTTACTTAATAATACTTTTAGCGGACGCTTATAACCTTTTCTAATTAGTCGGAGCGTAATTAAAGCAGAAGATAGCTAAAATTACTTATAAAATAAACAGTATAATTAATAAGATCAAATATTTATCTTAATATTAAGTTATATAGCTAATAAATTAATTAAAAACCGTGGTTAAATAAAACAAAATAATCCTTTTACCTTCTTTATAGAAGAAAGAATAAAAAGGAAAATAAAACTACTTTCTAAAAGGGGTAACCGCGTTATACTAAGCGGGAATATTAAAAACGCTATAAACTCTATCAATAGCTTTAATAAAGTTTTTAACAACCTCAAGACGGGTTTGGAATTCTTAAATAAACTCCTCGTTTACTTTACATAGGGTAACAACAATATCATCCTTAAAAAGCACCATTGCAGCCATTTCTAAAGTTAAAGTAGGCTTTAGGCTCTTCTTGTAGTAGTAAAAAATCATAATAACCGTATTAGTATTTAAACAACAAATTAAAATACTCAATCCTAATTAGTTTACTCTCGAAAAACGTCCTCTAATTGGCCGGAGCCAATTCAAAAAAATATTTTTCAGGGGAAGGTGAATAAGACAGGGAGGAAGCACGACGCCAATTTAACCCGCTCCAACATTTTGGATGTTGTTTGATTTTGGCTACTTACCGGGATGGGTTCAAGACCTAACAACAGCTCCCGTTCGAAAACTGGATGAGAAGACGGGTCAAAGGATACCCAAAACACTGTGCCAGTGTGTCTCATGGCCAGGGAAAGTGCTGTAGGTAAGCCGTAGACTGGGTAGCGATGCGAGTTCACGGCCGGTTGAGAGGTCCATATCGGTATAGAGAACGCTCAAGTTTGATATCAATTTGGAAGCTCATTTCTGGAAAACATGTTTGCTAACCGGTGAATACCATAACGAAAAAGCGTCTGACTGGGTGGCGTCCAGACCAGGCCCGGGGACAGGGCCAACGCTCGCTTCGCTCACCACATACAGTTCGAGTCACTGGACTCGAGCATGGGTGAACCACTATAAAAAACGGGGGTACTCGAATGTGAAAGGTACTCGTTAAAAATATGTTCTGTAGAGAGAAGTTGACCGAGCTCGAGAGTAAGCATACTTTGAACGGTATGACGTTCAGCGGAGAACATGAACAGACGGTCGAATAGCGGAGGTTATTCCGATTCGAAGATATCCCTAAACTGCACCAATGCCATGGACTGGGACGTGTGATTTGGACGACATTGCTACCTCGTGCGAATGCCTCTCGCCCACCAGCGCCATCGTCCCTTGCACTGGCTTGATGTCCCCCACAATTGTAAGGTCTATCCAATCCGAGTGTCGCTTCTGTATTCGATCGGTCCAGCCCAGCCGAAGGGCGATAGACTTTTCCACCATTCCTAGGACACCCGGACCTGAGGCGTTGGAAACCGCGCAGGCGAAGAACGGCGACTTGTGAGTTGTCAATGCAGATAACTATATGCGGTTGGTTATATCACATCAAGCCACACGAGCTAGAGGCAGGTACCGGTTGTAGAAAATGCCTGTACCATCACAACTTCTCAACTGCAGTTGCAAACTGAAAGGTTAGTTTGAATGTCTGGCAATGTTGCTTCGGTAAATCTAACCGCCAACAGAACCTACACCAGAAGACAAATTGTCCCAAATGCACCTTGACGCCGCAAGTTCTTCCAACCAAAAAGCACAACCAAATCAAATTCTTGCTTTCCGCCTCCTGAAAGTTGAGATCAGGGTCGCTTCTATACCCCGCCCAACACGGTTGTGGTGATACTCCCAAACGCCCCTTGATAATTATGCAGTTTCTTTTGCCGGATGAAGGATGTAGTCGGCTTGACCGTATGGTTGATGATGAAATTCTTCGAGCGCCCGGGCGTATTACATCCCCTGTTCCTCGTTACGGGTCTGCATCTCGATCTTCTTGACGTTGCGGCCATCGGGAGTATACCTATACAGCAGTCAGCAGCCGTATTCCTGCACAGAACATCCATGACAACCTACTTGAGAAGCTTCTCGATGAGGTCGACGTGGGTCATGACCATACGACGGCAGCAGTAGCGCTTGAGGCCGAGCTGATCGAGGGCATCACTAATCGTCATCTGTTAGTTATTGCCAGTCGTGGATCGGAGGGTATTCGTAGATATGGCGTACCCATCGGTAATCTCCTCGCCATCGATCAACTGGAGGTATCTCTCCCAGAGATCACCCACCACCTACGTGCCAAATGTCAGTAACCTTGTTGGACAGGTAAATGGCGGAAGAAGCGGGGCGCGCCGCGTCGCGTACCTTGCCGCAAGAAAAGCACCGAATGGGAATAATCATTTTGTTGGCGAGTCGAAAGACTGATAAAAGTTGTTTGGTGGAATGGCAATGTTTGAGGCGGATGAGCGACCAGTTTCTGGCGAGACGGTGATGCAAGTTTGGTCGTAGTGACGCGCAGCGCAAGTGGAAGTTCTTTGAACTTTGAAAGAGCGAGGCGGCAACTTGAAAGTCGGAAGGCCCCAGCAAATTTGACTTTCCAGGGCCTGATTGGCCACTTTAGTCTTATCGCTGATAAGACAGCTGCCCCACATTAAACTTTCAAAGGGTACTCCGCCAAAATTTCTTTCGCTGGAAGACGCTGCGGACGTGAAGCTCGGTACGACAAATCGTGTATTCCTTGCCCGACTTGCATCGTCATATTCACAAAGACAAGATGGTGGACCTACGCACCCCTCGCAAGTCCTCCAAGGCCACCAAGATGGACGCGAACGGCGAAACCGCCTCGCTGAAGAAGAGAAAGAGAGAGCCCAAGGAAGAGACGACAACCGCTTCGCAAAAGAGACAACGATCGAAACCAACCAAGACCCAGCCCTCCGCCAATGGCACTGTTGAGGATGCTGCCGACTCCCAAGAAAGCTCCCTTTTTGAGAACAAAGACCTACAAACGACCAATGGCGACTTGGAACTTCCGGATGCTTCGAGTGCCTTGACGACGCGCGACACATCAGCATGGAAGGTGTCGAATCCTATGGGCGGCCGCATGCTCGACATCGATCCCATATTCTCCAAGGATGAACGGTTCGTTTGAGACCAGTTCCCTAGGTAGGAGCTCTACTAATACGAAACTTAGATACCTACTCATTACCTACAACACATCAATTCAAGTCTACTCCGCCGAGGATTCCCTGCTCGTCAGGAGGATATCCCTTCCCGTCACCAAGCTCGACAGCGGCGCCGAGCTTTCTTCTCCTCACATCGTCGCGTCAGCGCTATCCGCCAGCGCACCCGATTTCCTCTGGGTTGCCTGCTCAGATGGCCGTATCTGGCACCTCAACTGGACGACAGGCGAAGGCGCCGAGACACCCTTTACGATTGATGTCAAGAAGGTCCTCGACATGACCGTGGAGTCGGTTGACATTCGCGACAAGCAAGAAGATGTACTCTTCGTCCTCCAGAAGCTCACCAAGTCCTCGGCACAAATCGTGGCCTACGATCTCAAGACCCTCCAGAAGAAGACCGGCAAGCTTATCCACACATACGACGAGAACCCGCAACTGCTCCGTTCCGCTGCTGGTGGCAGACTCATCGTTGCTGCCGCAAAGGAGACGTTACACATTGGCACACTCAAGACAAAGGGAAAGACTGTCAAGTCGGTTGACGACCTCGAATACGCGTTCCACTCTTTCGGCGTACCAGATCTGGTCACTTGCCTCGACATTCGTCCGACTCTCCAAACGACCAAGAAGGGTGGTGTAGAAATCCAGTTCGTCGATCTCGTCATCGGCTGCGCTCGCGGTGCTATCTACGTATATGGTGACCTTCTCTCGAAACTGCCCGGCAACGCGACCAAGGCGGCCCCCATCAGCTCGTAAGCTCCATTGGCACCGCAGGGCCGTTCACAGCGTCAAGTGGTCTGAAGATGGCAACTATCTGATCTCCGGTGGTGCCGAAACCGTCCTCGTTTTGTGGCAGCTCGATACCGGCAAGAGGGAGTTCTTGCCTCACCTTTCAGCAACCATTGAAAATATCGTCGTTTCGCCCAAGGGATCATCCTACGCTCTTCATCTTGACGACAACTCGGCCATGGTGCTCTCAACCGCGGAGATGAAGCCCACGACCTACGTCTCCGGTATTCAGTCTTTGGTTCTCAGCGACAAGCCATCAAAGGAGTCTCTGGTTCGCCGCGTCTGGAAATCCGTCGATGAAATCTCAACACCGTTGATTACTACCAGCAACCCTACCAACCCTTCACAAATATTTCTCTGCGTCGGCAATGGACAGCAGGCCAGCTCGACAGGAAATGCGCCGTCTACACCACTTCTCCAAGTTTTCGATGTCTCCTCGTTCCAGGGCGTTGGCAAGCATCCCATTGCGCGCACCAACCCTACCGATGCCAACATGACCAGCCAAGGTGCGCCAATCATTGAACCCAGAGTCACCAAGATGGCCTTCTCTCACGATGGAAAATGGCTTGCGTCGGTTGATGAGTGGCAGCCGCCTGAGAGGGATCTGGAGCCTCTCTTGACTGGCTCCAAGACCACATGCGAAGTTTCGCGGGAAAGGAGAGAGATCTACCTCAAGTTCTGGGAGGTTGAGGCGGAGGATAGCTCTTTGCAGCTCGTTTCGCGCATCAACGAGGCGCATTTCACAACAGAGTCTGAGACCATCCTGGATGTTGTCAGCGACCCTGTTTCTTCTCGATTTGCTTCTCTTGGCACCGACGGTGTAGTGCGGTTCTGGAGCCCCAAGCTGCGCAGGAAAGACGGTTTGGCGTCAACCGGCCCCGAGGGCCAACAGCTCCGGACATGGTCATGCTCCAAGGCCGTTGAGCTCCCTGCTTATGGGCAACTGGAAGAGGCGGTAGAAGTTTCTCCCAAGACCCCTCGCAGCGGCGCCCTTGCCTTCTCTGAGGACGGCTCTGTTCTCTTTGCTGCCTATGGCCCTTCATCCGGAGCTGTCGTTGTCGTTATCGACACGGCTACTGGAGCTATCCGTGACACCATCCCTAACTTGTCTAGGGGTGAGATCCGGGGTATCGAGGCTCTCTCGTCGTCTCTGATCTTGCTTTCGGAGGATCTCACTGTCTACGATATTGTGTCGGATGAGGTGCAGTACAGCTTTGCTCTGAAGGAGACTTCGGAGGCTGCCAAGCAGATGACCCATTTGGCGGTTAACCGCGAGTCCCGATCCTTTGCCGTTGCTGCCCCTATCCCCAACTCTAGCCAGGAGAAGTTGAAGAAGGGCGCAAAGTCGGAGCTCGTTGTCTTCTCGGTCAATGAGGAAGTGCCTCAACTGATCCAGACATTCCCTCAAGTCATCACTGCGGTCCTTCCTTCTACCAACTCGGCAGGGTTCATCGCAGTTGACTCTGCTGCCCAGATTTGGTCCATCACCGAAAGCGGAGAGCAGGCACAGATGCTCCAGCCGTTGGCGGATATCAACATGGAAGAATCAAAGGCATTGGTAGCCCCAGTAGACCTTGCCGTTGAAGACGGCGAGGCCAGCGATGAGGAGATGCAGGATGCCGATGAGGATGTCGAGATGGAGGATGATGACTACGATGTTCACCAGGCTGTCGTTGCTCCCCAGAAGCTTGCTGAGATCTTCAATGCTGCTCCCGCCTTCGCTATGGCGCCCATAGAGGATATCTTCTACCAGGTCGCTGGACTGTTCTCCACGAGGCCTTCCACGATTTAAACTTGGGACGCATCAATTGCGACATTCCGCAACTCGAGTCGGCCCATCTTACGTGTGATAATTATGAGAGGGCCGCACAAGCTGGTCCAGTTGCGCAAAGGAGGCGAAACCGCTAGTGCGCAGTGTCAACAATGGGGAGTTTCATCGTATCCCCTGGGCATCTGCCCATCATGTCTTTGAAGGCTTCAAGGCTGATGGCATCAGGAGTCAGTCATAAGGTTGTGGAGTCTGACCTTCGCGGCGCTGGGTATGACCAAGATAGGAGGGAGCCATACTGGCAGCCACATCAAAAACAGTGCCGCGCCGCCCCATCATGGCAGCAAGGAAATGGGTCTTTCGTCCCTCGACATGGACGATGACGACGACGACGACGACGACGATGAGGAAGGTCGGAATCCTCGGCAGGTTTACGCGTGCAAGCCCGGGGACCCTTACCCTGGGGGGCAGCTGCCCCGCATTAGTCTGGGCCGTTGCTGTGGGGCATTTACGGCACGCTCCGATGGCGACCGATTACGCCATTTTTAGACTCCTCCGATAATAGCATTGGGAACCATTAGGATATCAGGTCATGTAGCTTAGAACTGGAGCTGCACACTGCAAATTGCTTTGGGCTAATATAAAAAGCTAGATGTTTTCGTGTTGTTTGGGAACTGTAACTTTTTATCAATTTCATACTTTTGCAATTTCTCTGCAACAATCCAATCCACCAAAAGCGTTCTGCCTTTCCAAGCCTCGGAAGGACCTCCAACTACATCTCATCCCGCCTTTTGTGAGGGGAAGGACATCAGACGACGATCTCTTTCAGCCGCTTTGACTACCAGTCCATCACCACCATCCATATTGCGGCACTTGGACCCTGGGACGACTTGATAATCAGGGCCTGCTTTTGATCTTGTCCTCTTCAACCTCGAGCAACTCGTAAAATGTCTTTCACATCCATCCCAGTTCTAGATCTGTCTCTGGCCAAGGACCCGGCTACCAAGCCGGCTTTCCTCGCAGACCTCAGACACGCCCTTATGGAAGTGGGCTTCTTATATCTCAAGAATGTCGGTATTCCACAGGAGGTGTTTGACCAGGTCATTCGAGAAGGGAAGAGCTTCTTTGATATCCCAGAAGAGGAAAAGTAAGCGTTCAGTTTTTGCTATCATGATTTTTGATATGGACACAGCAGGGAACCTAACCAAAACGCTATTTGGTGTGAACAGACTCAGGATCGAGATGAAAAATGCACCCTCCTTCCTCGGCTACTCCCGTCTGTCCGCCGAGATCACCGCCGGCGCCATCGACCACCGCGAACAGATCGACCTGTCCACCGAGCACCCCCTACCCGAGCCCGGCGCGCCGTTGCACTACAACCTGCTAGCACCCAACCAGTGGCCATCATCGGATGTGCTCCCATCCTTCCGCCAGACGTTCACCGACTACATGAAGAATATGGGCGACATCTCCATCTATTTTACCAGCCTGATCGCCGAAGCGATCGAGCTCCCCGCCGACGCGTTCAACAAGTACTTTGATAAGGACCAGCAGCACAAGCTCAAGATTGTCAAGTACCCGGATGTGGGAACGTTGGGTAAGGAAGGTAAAGAAGGGAATCAGGGCGTGGGGCCACATAAGGATAGTAGTATGTCTTTCTCTCCCTCCCTTTCCTCTTTCCCCTTTACCCCTTTTTGATTCCCCCTCCTCCTACAGAGACGTAAACAGACGTACTAACCTAACACCCTTTTCCCCCTTCACCACAGTGCTATCATCCTACCTCCTCCAAGCCTCCCACCACCGCGGCCTGCAAGTCCAAAACATACGCGGTGAATGGATTGACTGCCCGCCCATCCCTGGCACCTTGGTTGTCGCCATAGGTCAAGGTCTCGAAGCCCTCACACAAGGCGTCTGCGTGAGCACCACGCACCGGGTCCTCTCCCCTGCCGTGGGCCAGGGAGCGCGCTTCTCCATCCCCTTCTTCCAGGGCGTGCGGGGGGACACCACCTTTGACGATTTGGAAAAGGTCGGTGTCGGGCAGGTGCCCGAGCACGTCAAGGAGCAGCGCAGGAGGGTGCTGGAGGCGAACGGCGGGCAGAGATTGGATGATGTCGAGTTTACCTTCCGAAAGGGAGGCGTCGCGACTACCCTGGGCGAGGCGACGTTGAGGAACCGCGTCAAGAGTCATCCGGATGTCGGGGAGAGGTGGTATCTGGAGATCTTGAAGAGTTTGAGGGAGGAGCAAGCTAGGGCGGCGGCGGCGGCGGCCAGTCCTCCGGTAAATGCGGCTGTCGTGTCGCCGGAGGGCAAAGCTGTTGAGGCGCATTAGTGAAAGGATTTCTGGTTCCAGTGTTGGATGGGAAAAGCAGGTATGGGGGAAGGGAATGGCAGGCGGTTATATCCAGCGTGTTACCGTCTGCAAGGCGTCAAGAAGGCGCGAAGAATTTATGTAAATAGTCCAACTGCGTTTTGTCTCATGATTGATCCCTCGGGAGCCTGTCGGACGGATCGGGGTATGTTCAGACCTCTCTCTTTTTATTAATGTCAAACTCATTGTAATACGCCTTATCCCACCCGCTTTGATGCATCGCCATTTGTGCTGTAAATCACTCCCGTCTGGTTTGCTTAGGACGTTCGTTTTTTTTCCTTGTTCCCCGTCCAGCATTTTTTCTTTTGCCTCTTCGCGCTCCATCATTTTGATTCCACGCTCCCAAATATCGGATTTCGGATCGTCACGGATCGTTCGTTCGGTGGAACTTTGTATAATGCGCATTTATTTCTTGGGCTGCTCGACGAAGCCGGGGAAGCAGTCCGCCAGCGTCTTGCTGTGCTTGTTCTGAGCGTGCTCATCGAGACTGCAGAAGCGTCGAGGTCAGTTTGGGTATATACGGTAGGGAGAATCGGTAGGCATCTCGAATTGTGACTAGGCGAGAAATGCGACGACGAGGTCTAGGATGAATATCCGGGGGGGTTTTTGCTTACGCCTTGGCGCGCGAGGTCGACAGGAAAGTGGCCCTGCAGGTCTGGCAAATGATGTTCATGGCAGCAGCGTTCTGGAGAAGAATTTGTGTTAGCGAACGGAACGGCCATTTTTCGGCTCGACGAAGGAATATCTTGTTCGTGGAGAAAGGGACACGACGTACAGTCTTAAGCTGAGACTTAGGACCAGCAGCAGCGTTCTTCGCATTGCGCTCGCGCTTCTGCGCAGCCTTGGCTCCCTATTTACCGAGAAAACACCGTGTTAGTTGACCTTGTCCAGCAAGGTGGTGATCATCGTCGATCGTGAAGTTTCGGAGGTAAGCAAGGTATGTATGTAACGTACGTTACCGCCACCCATTTTGTTTGTGGTTGGTTAGTTGTTGGTTGGAAAAATTAAAGATGAGGTGGTAAAGCGAGGTGGAGAGCGAGAAAAAGAAATGGCGGAGAGGAGTGTGCAACGAGAGAAAGGGTCAGCAGCGAGGTTAGGAAATATTCCCAGCCAGAACGTCGTCCGAATTTATCATGGGCCTCGTCCCATCAAAGTGGCGCGAGAAAATTACAGTCTTTGGCGGCCTCGTAAGATGGCTTTCAGCTGATTTCGAGACTTTCGGCAATGTTGGCTGTGATAAAGCGTCCACCGCCTGCCTCTTCCAGATACATAAGGTATATTACGAAATATTACCCACTGTCACAAGAGCCGACCTCCCGTGGTCGACAACAACAGAGGCGGGTACAGTAGAAGCAGCGCACTGACCAAGAACTAGACAGTTCGATCTTCTGAAGAGATCGCCGCTGGTCTTTGAGCAGTCGAGCGCACTATCACGTCCGTCCTATCTATACCTTGTTCCGTTGTCTATTTACAACTCCAAGTGTCCCTTTAAAACCTCCTAGAGCTACCTCTAAGTATCCAAATGGACATTAAACTGCTCCAATCCGTCCATTTTCTTTGCTTTTTGTGAACTGGAAGGAAGGAAAGCACGGGAGTGATGCACTTGAAGTAGAGGCAGCAAGAGCCCGTCAAGCGAAAGTCTTGGCAGCAACATTGGCGGATGATGCTCCCTTGAACGACTGCAGGTATTTATTTACTTTCTCATATGGGAGGCCAGCGTCCTTTATTCTGCCTCAACATCCCTTCTTCTTGTCCAATCCTCTATCCAGCTATCGGCCATCCGAGATTGCACATTACTTTCAGGGCCGTCTCCCGCTGCATGCTTTGATCGATATCTGCCCGACGCCTCCGACGGGACCGCCCGTCAGTTTCTGTAAGTGACTTCATAATACTCACTGAACTCAGGGGAGGGTTTCGGGCATAAGGTTACACCCAGCTTCTACTTGGCATCTACACCTCTCGGTTCGCAGGCTCGGTCAAGAACACGAACCAACCGGCCCCGTCCGCCGAGGCATCTTCTCCATTAGGTCCGGTCTGGTCGCTCTCAACAGAGACGGGACCGACAGTCCCTAGAAAAGCCGCCGAAAGGCTCGCTTGCCCTCGTCTGCGCAGGATGCTCGCCGTCCTCGTATTGACGGGACGAGCTCCCGATTCCCATGCCGTCGCATCGACCCAGACTCGCCATGTCGCAAACGTGGACCGCTGAACATGCGCAATGGGACCTCGCTGAGACGGCCTTTCCAGAACTAGACCCTTCATCCGCTCTTGATCGACTCCCAAACATCACAGAATTCGAACCGCTTGTCGACTTTCACAAAGACGGTTGAGTGCTGCAGTGTCACTTGCAAGTCACTGTGACCCCCTTCTGCGGCATCACAGCTTGGCCGCACCAACGACGAAGAGCCGCAATGGCCAAACCAACTCCCCTCTCTGCAGCCAAAATCTCCCTCAGTGCCTTCAATGAAGTGCTCAGAAGATATCCCGCCTGCATCCAAGCCATCTCGCAGGACAAAGGAGGTACGGCGTCTCCGCTCAAATCTTCAACCCCCATGGCTATGGCCCCCTGTCTGATCCCCTTGAAATAGCCAAACCAGGCCAAAAGACACTGGCAGAGTTAGATGAGTACCGCTATGACGAAGCAGTCAGAGCCTTTGGTCCCGAAAAGGCAGGCACTAAATCCATGGGGATTGATGAGGTCAAGACCTTGGTCGAATGGAAGCTGTAAGTCCCCCTTTCGAATTTATTTCCCTGCCACCCGTCCAGACATCCCTGAAACTCCAAGGGCAACAACATCTACCGTCTTCCTGCAAGCTGTCGGTAGAAGGAGAGCCGCAGCCGTTTTTAGTGGCTTGCGAACACCATCTCATTGAGCTCGCTTCACATGCCCCCACTAGGGCGCTGGTGAGCGAGATTACCGAAAGAAGCACTTTAATAATACCTGCCTTCTGTCCTCCAATGTCACTTTGCAAGCCGCTGACTTTGTTCTAGTCGTCATGGCAAGTTCCGCCCAACCCTGATGAAACTCGTGTCGTCCAATGACCCCGATCTGGTTCAGACAACCGTACAAGATGCCATCAAGCTGTATCGGGACAAGTCAGACATATCCGGAGCCCTAGGTATCCTGACCAAGCTAAAAGGTATCGGCCCGGCTACTGCGTCATTGCTCCTGGCGGTGCATGATTCAGATCATGTTATCTTCTTCGCCGATGAGGCCTTCTACTGGCTCTGCGGAGACGGTAATAAGGTGCCCCTCAAGTATAACGTCAAGGAATACGACTCCTTGTGCGACAAATCTCGAGCGCTATCTCAACGGCTTGGAGTCAAAGCCATTGACATTGAACGTGTAGCTTTTGTTCTTATGCAGCAAGAAAGTGGGGATGTAGCAGCCGCAAGTGCTACCCTTGATCCCACGCCGCCGGTCAGCAGCGTTGCCAAGGTGACGCCCCCCAAGATCAAGAGGAAGGCCACTGATGGCGATACCAAAGAGCCTGAGCAATCCGTGAGACGCTCGAAACGCACAAGACGCACCTAGGTGAGAATGTGAGGCACCAGAAGGGGTCTCTGGGGCTTAGATAGTGCAGTGACATGAAGGCTAGGCCGGCTTTAGCACCAGTCCAAGCCGCACTACCACGGATCTCGGAAAGGTCAGCAGTGCATTCTGCAAACAGCTCGACGTTGTATGGGTGCATGGAAGTTCTTCTTTCAGCCCTGCCTTTATGTGTACTGTGACTAGGTATCTGTTTAAAGACGAGGTGTTGACACCAAGGTACCCAAACCAAACTTCGGATGCCAAATTGAAACACCATTGGAGGTGGGTTCGACATTCGAGATTCCCCTATTGGTAAACGCTAGTAACGTCCCACGAGATGAGAGTGTTCGGCGTTCACGGGCCGTAGCTGCGGATGGGTCCCTGCTGTGGTCCCCTGCTCCAAGTCGGTTCGCGAAGCGACCGGATGTGGATAAGGTTTTTGATAACATTACACTCTTGCTTCGACCAGAGATACTGTTCGTCGGCGACATGTATCTCCTCCATAAGTACACGATGGAAACCAGACAGGCTGCCCTGTGGGCAGACGTGTGCATGGAGTACAATGTGCGGTCCAGAGGCGGATATGCTTTCCGACATCTTCGAGGATACCTCCACCGGTACTGTCTCATCTCTCTATATACTCACCAGTGTAGAACCTCTACTTCTCTTCTTCATGTCTCCCATCCTTATGCCACTTCTTTCCATCATTCATCATGGCGATTTTTTTTCAGTCATATCCTACCACTGCCAACACAGTAGCCCAGGTGTACTGGGAGAAAGAGGGTGAAATGCAGTCATTTTCGTGCCCCGATCCCGTTCCTCTACCTCCACGATTCACACTCGTAAAGGAAAGACTGGCTTCAGGCAACGAAGCAGCACTTACAGTATCATGGCAAAGACTACTAAAGAGGCTGGAAGAAGAGGTTGATCATATCTCCTCCATGGGATCAAAGGTGGTACCAACAATCGACTTTGCCAACATCTCGGACCCCAAACACTCGGAAGCGTTCTGCAACCAACTACGAAGATCAGGGGTGGCTATCATACGAAATGTAATCCCCAAGGAGACAGCAGCCAGCTGGAAGCAAGAAGCAAGCGAATACCTCAGCCAGAACCCAGGCACGCGAGCAGTGCCAACAAAAGACCCCCAGCTTTACGAACTCTACTGGAGTCCAGCCCAGATCAAAGCCAGGGCACATCCCAATGTCATAGCCGCGCAGAAGTTCGCAATGGGAATATGGGAGTCGAAAGACCCCAACGCCAAAGTCAGCACAAACTTTCCCATCACATACGCCGATCGAGTGCGGATCCGAACTACTGCCACAACCACAACGACATGCGGCAGCGGTGGTGATGAAAGCCGACCCAGCCCTAGCGCCCATGTCGACAGTGGCAGTGTCGAAAGGTGGGAGCCAGATGGGTATGGAAATGCAGGGACGTACAAGGAGATCTTCGATGGGCACTGGGAGGATTATAATCCTTGGAAGGTACGTGTAGGCCAACCTACCTCTCTTCCCTTTTCTTCAGAGACACTTTGAAATTTTGCTAACATCCCTTTGCACTACTCCCCAGAGCTCCTCCCGTGTCCAAGTAACAAGCGATCTCTATCAAGGCGCCGGTTCTTGCTCCATCTTCCGCATGTTCCAAGGACTTCTAGCCATGAGTCCCATCTCCTCCGATGCCCCAGACTCGGACTCAGATTCAGACTCGCTCCAAGTTTGTCCCATGCCCCAGCTAGCCACAGCTTATTTCCTCCTACGACCCTTCTTCTCTCCTTCGCCCTCTTCATCGCCGGCCTCTTCATCCTATAACCTCAACTCGTCCTCCTCCTCCTCCTTCCCCGTTGCCGGTGAAGGTGAAGGTGGAGAAGACCCATCATCACCCTGGCTCTTCGACCATCCCCACAACTCCATCCTCCACGGCGCCCTTCCCAGCTACGCCCAAGACATCAACCCGACCTTGCACCCGCACCTGCAGCTGGACCGCAGTCTGGTGACCATCCCGCGGTTGGAGCCCGGTGATTACGTGCTTTGGCATCCGGACCTAATTCATGTTGTTGATGGGCCTTGGGAGAGGAGGAGGCGGGGACGGCACCAGCAACAGCCGCAAACGCAACCGCAAACCGATTACCAGAATCAGCACCACCAGCACCAGCACCACCCCCACCAACCAAGCCAGCCACAACAGCACCAACGAAACCACAGCATGACCACAAGGAGCAGCAACAACAACCCAAACCTAACCCTCAACCCACACAAAATAAAACAAACAATGTCCCTCTACCTCCCCTGCTGCCCCCTAACCCAAACCAACGCGCTCTACCTCTCCCGCCAGCGCAAGGCCTTTCTGCTAGGCAAACCCGGCCCCGACTTTGGTGGAGGCGGGCAAGCGCTTTTCCACCAAGGACACAAGAACTACGGCACTTATGGGTACGGGTACGGCGGGGTGGGGAGCACGGGGAACGGACTTGGTCTATTTAGTCATTTGCGAAGTGATAGTGGTGGTAGCTATAGTGGCGGTAGTGTATGTGGGAGTGGTACGGGTGATGAGAGCAGTCATATGGGCAGGGCAGGGGTGCAGGATGTTAATGATGCGGGCGGGGATGATGGGTTGAGGACCATGGGGCTGTTGCCGTGGGATGAGGAGGAGGCGAGAACCGAGGCGGAGAGGGAGGTGTTGGCTATGGCTAATGGGATATTGTTTCCTGATTTGTATGATTGTGGGAGGATATGAGGAGTGTTATGTGTGGGTTCGGTGTTGTGATTGTGGGAATAAAATAAGGCTTGTAACACTAGGTAGACTACATAGATGGGTGCTGATGCAAATTAGGTAGAAATGGAATGGACAAGAGTTCGCTGGGCCGACATAATATCAAGAAAACGTTCTGCTCATTCTCATTCTTCTAACCGAAACCAATTCGACACCTGGGGTATGAAAGTAGCAGTTTCCGAAATACATTCTCACGGTATCCTTGAAAAGCTATGAAACTCCTTTTACACTGACAAACTGCTCGATCGCGAACGAACGAGCGTCCCTGTTGGTTCTCCACCACTGTATGATCGTGCACACAACTCCTATGAAAGCGACGGTAATCGCCGCTGTCCTTCACCTCTGTTTCTCCTTTGATGATCTATCCCTTCGAGATCCACACTACGTCGGCATGGAGGTCTCGGCGTGGTGCTTGTAATATTTTGTCTTGCTGCGAAAAGAACTTGTGTGTCCGTTTCCGTTCGACCAAGTCGGAAGTGTTGATTTACTTCATCTTCTTGGGGACACCATCCTGCTGGGTACGGCCGTACTTCTCAGCAAGCTCGTCATACTCGCGGTGGAGAGAGGCGGACTGCTTCTTGAGGGTCTCGATGTCCTGGTCACGGAGCTGGACCTCGCGCTTGAGGCGGGAGATCTCACCAGGGTCACCGGCCATGGCGAGCTTCGCGGACTGCTTGGTGTCCTTGTCGGTACCCTCGAACTTCTTGAGCTTCTCCTCGAGACGGAGGACCTCGAGAATCATGATGTAGGTGCGGTTGAGGATCAAGGAGAGGAAGAGAGTGAAACCGCAGAGGTACATGTTGCGCTGGGAGTAAAACTTGCGAGCCTGGACCTCGAGACGCTCGTGACCCATGATGGCAGCACTGTTGATCTTGTGTTAGTTTTTTGTGTGCGTTCAAGATAAGGAGAACAGCAGGTTTACGTACGCGTTACCCTTGGAGGCATCGGTGGCAGCGGCGAGCTCTACCTGGACGCGGTAGACTCTGTTCACGCTGTCGATGAACAGGATGAGGATGAATATGAACGTAATTTTTAAACCGTATTGTAGCTTTGCTATGATTGGGTTTTCGGAGATGAAGGTGAACAGCTTCCTGCGGATAGCGAATGGCAGAGGAACGATGAGCAGCATGAAGATGCTCATCTCTGCTACTAGGAGCATAAAGACCTACGAAGCGAAAGCGTTAGCCAATTCTATCCATTGACCATCGTCGTGTTGTTTCCTATCCAGCGACATGGCGCCAGTCACGACGGCGGAGGGCATGATTGAACACATACCAAACTGTAGTAAAGCGTCATCTTGACGGTTGTGGGGGGACTCGCGCCCTCGTGTTCAGATCAGTGTTTAGGTGTAGTAAGTGGATTTGGTATTGCGACCGATTGCGCAACTGTTGTCTTTGAAGTGGTGTTTCTTGGTGTTGATTTGGCGACGATGCCGAAGCTTGGGGGAAGAATGGAGGTTTAGGTGTGAAGAAGGGCGGCAGGTTTACGAGGCAGGAAGAAATAAGAACAGAAAACACGGCGACAGGTCACAGCAAAGAAATGAGCCCGTCTCCTGCCAATCTGGAGCTTGGCTTGGGCAGCGCGGGCTTGCAAGCTTCCCGTCAGGTTGCTGTGGGCAGTGCAGGCAGTGCGTTGAGTGGGTAGTGTAGGTCGGCGGGACAGGTGTGACGTGTTTGGTCCGACTGGCAGGTGAGCTGTTGCTGTTGCTGCTGGTTTTTGAGGAGCTTCGTCAGGGAAGGCCCGGAATGCCAGGGTCTGTAAATCATCAACGTCATTGCTTGTGGCTTGAGCGTGGATCCCCAGCCGTCTTTTCAGCCTCTTTGTTGATCGGGGGTTCGAGCTTGGCTGTGGCTGGAACGAGATGAGTTCCACAGCTCAGCTCACTTCTTTTTATGGAAGCTGACAGTTCCTGACATGTGCTTCCGCTGCAAAGAACAAGTGCCAACTGCCAAGCAAACTTGAAGTTCAGAGACTCGGGAGCCCCCGCCATGTGAACCCTAACCCTCATTACCGTGCTTCGGCCGCTGTCGGCATGATTTCATTTTCCGTCGCTTGGCACTCTCGGCTAGCTTTCCAAGTTGAAAGCTGGGAGAGTTGGCCAGTTGGCCGGGGATTCTTTTGTTTACCCCTGGCATGATCGGTCAAAACCCTTTGATCGGGTTTCTGCTCCTCTGTTCAAGTTGTGAGTTGAAGAAGAGCCAGGACACATGCACGAAAAGATCTTATCTTAAATGCCGATGCTGTTGTCCTTGCAGTGCCGAACGGCGACTCAAAAGCAAGGAGAAGGAGAGACGAATTACTCTGGGATAAAGTGCGTGCAGAGGGACTGACTGCCCTGGAAGCCACTCCGATTCTCCAAATCCATTTTAAACCCCCGCTCGCGGCTCAAGCCAGCGTGTTTCATGTCAAGACTTTTGCACATCGTCACCTCCAAAATAATATCTGGGCCGTCGTCTTCTCCATATCTTCCATCCCGTCATCTGGGGAACTGACGATCCCGTCCGACCTTCCTGTTCGAAGTTCTCAGGTTAGCGACCTGCCAGAATAGGGATGGGAGCCCGATCACGAAAGATATGGGGACTTGCGAGTCATTCAAGAATCATTTGATATTGCCAGAATGCGGTTGCATGAAAACAGTATTTTCTTTCTTTTTTTCTTCCCTTCATCGCTCCCTGCGCCGATCTTTTCTGTTCATATTGATACAGATTGCTGAGCAGCACATCCCGCGCCGCATCTCCGTCTCTGCCGTATGAGGCACCAGTACGTGGAATGCGGTGTACGCATGTACATATCGGTATCAGGAATACGACCCCGGGGAACGAAGAGTGTCGGGACCATGGGGGACCATTCGACGAGCACAACTGATAGGCTACAGTACAGCCAACGCCGCCGGCTCGCCAGTCATCCATACGAATTCTTCACGAGAGAATCCTTTCTGCGCCTCAAAAAGCAGGTCGGAGCCAGTTGTCCAAATTCGGCTGTAATCCGCAGTGCGGCCCGCTGAGAGAGAAGCAGCATGCATCTCCCATCCATGCAGCACCCTGAACTGGAAACCGAACCCCAAAAATGCCCACCACACCCTCTTGTCTCTTCAGGTGAAGAAAACACATGACTCCATTCCCGAAAAAAGGCACCTTGATGGGGCGTGGATTCTACTCAAGTGCCTGAATGCAAGCAGGGAACAGCAAGTGCTGAGGTATCCGCTGTACATGCTGGGCTCCTGGGCGATCTTCATCAATTGGATTATGTGGAATGGTCCACCGTGGAAGTCCACATCTAAACCAGCCCTCGATTTTCTTCCATGTTCTCCCCCCCCCCCCCCCCCCGAGGCCGGGCCGGGATCCTAGCACCCACGGGGCCACGGGGACTTGGTACTTGTATATATCTCGCCGACCACCTCGCCGGTATGCATGATCCCTTCAGAAAGAGTTTAAAGCTTTTTGCAAGTGTTGCCAGAAACCTGTTCCCATTTTTCTCTAGTTTAAATCCGTTGTTCCGCTCACACCAGAAAGCGAGCCATCTTTCGTTCCCGCTCGTCATCCACTCCCAACAACAGCGACCGTCAGCAAAAGTTGGCCCACGATAATACGAGGCAACCCTGCTATTTTCGGCCAACCGACCAACTTATATATATACACTATATATCGAATCGGCCATACCTGTCTCAGGAGGCATCCTTCAGTCACTCGCTCTTCTCAACTGTCAAAATGAAGTTCCAGCTCCTCGCCGTCTTCTCTCTCATCGCCATGGCCTCAGCAAGGCCCATTGTCTGCCCAGATGTACGTTATTCTTCCTCCAGTATAAACTACGCATATGCTGACTCCGTGCCATAGGCCAAGCGCGATGCTATTCTCAGAGGTGACCTCCCTAAGGAGGCATGCTGTAGTTACGGCAAGTGTCTTGGGGATGTGGTGATTGCCTCGTCATGAAAGGGTTGTTTCAAGAGCAATCTGTAACCGCAAACATGGCTGTTCGAAACATCATCACCGTCTTCATTCCCAACAGCACGGAACGTCTTGAAGCATTCCGATTCTCCACCCTCGCTTCCAGACCCAACACCGTCCAACGTTTTTCGACAATTCCTTTTCCGGCACACGGCCCCACCTGCGCTCGTATCCCGGGACAGCGACCCCACCAAGACACAGGACGACACCGGGATGAACGGCAAACCCCGATACGATGAACTTTGCCCATGGAGACGGTTCTCACCGACGGCCTCTCACTTCTTACCTAATCGAAAACAGCCCGTGTCCTTGACAACCTCGGGGGCCAAGTATATACTCACACCGTATACTATCAACCACACTACACATACGCACTTCTGACCGACTAATATACCACGTACAATACCCATCTTTTTTTACGATTACCAAGTCACCGACGACTACTCGAGACGCTAGATGGAAGTGAACGGCAACCGCTCTGTACATACCGAAGCCAATTGGGATTTCAGACATTTCATCAATCACCAACATCAGCATAGAGAGAGGGGGGAGGAGGATAAGAGAAAACGACCTGGTATGAGAACAGGCAGCGCATGTTGTCCTTCCTGTTCATCGCATAGCCCGACACATATGTGTCTGGCATAGTGAACGCCGCAACGCATTAGAGGGAGTTTATGGAGTCTACTACCTATGAATTAATGTTTTATTGCTGCCATTCAACACAAACTCTTGCACTGCTCACGACTGTGGCCCGCCATCCATATATCGGTGGCATTAGCTCGGATATGTGTTATGTACATGCTACACTTCCTCTTTGGATATATATAGCTTACAACGAACATAACCCATAGCATTATCAGGCTGAAGTAGGCACGTTATGCTTGTAAGTGAGCTCAACCTAGTGCGATAACATCATCATCATCGTCAACATTTACTTGCCCTCTACACAGTCTTATCTCTGTTCTAGGCCACCTCTTCTCAGCATGTCGGCATATGGTACCAAACAGACATAAACAATCGGTGATACCATCACCTCCTTGTACTACCCTTAGTTGACGCCAGGCCTTTCACCACAACCCTCAATCATCCATGGACGGCGGAAACTCCGGGACAGTGATCATATCAACAGCTCGTCCATCCCGCTTCCACACTTTACCATCCTTCATCACAAACCCCACCTTCCTCAGCGCCTTCCCATCCTCTCTCGGATCCGCATCCAACGCAATGATATCCGCCCTACACCCCTTCTCCCACCAGCCAAACCGATACCCCGTCAGCTCTCCTCCACACGCCTCCCACCCGCCCACCGTCGCCATTTCCAACACATCCTCGATCTTAATCCCCGCCTTCACAAACAGTTCCAACTCCCTCGCGTTCAAGCCGTGGTCAATAACCCCCGTATCACCCCCCGTCACCACCCTCACCCCGTACTCGTTTACCGCCTTTTTCACAGCCGCAAGGCAATCCTCCATAAACTGCGGCGCAGCGCTCTCCACCGTCGCCAGCGTCGGCACCCAAATCGTCCCCTGCCTCTTCATCTCTTTGAGCACTTCATCCAACAACCCATTCGAGTCCTCAAACATGTGTTCCATCGTCGTCACGCCCGCCTTCGCCGCCATCAGCGCCGCTTTGGTCTCGCCCGCGTGTGCGGCCACCGGTAATTCAGCGAGCTTCGCTTCGCGCACAATGGCGTCCATCTCGTCCTGGTCAAAAAGCGGCACAGCAGGGTTTCGCTTGCGCGGATCATCGGGCGGGAACAAGATAGCCTGGTTGGAAGTATTCGACACTCCCGGGCCAGGGAAGCGCATTACTTTCCTTCTGTAATCCGCATAAAACTTGATGATATCCGCGCCGTCGCCGACCCGCCTTCGCACCCCCGCTCTGACGCCATCTACGCCGTCGCATGGGTCGGAGGCACGGGGGACCAGTAAGCCCCCGTTGCTGGGGATGTTGCTGGGGCCCAGGGGGCCGGAAAGGGATTTGTTCTCCCGCCGGATCTCGTAGGAGCCGTTGGAGGCTAAGGCGTCCGTGGCTACGAACATGCGTGGCCCCGGGACGAGGCCGCGGTTAATGCAGTCGCGTAACTGGGCGTCGGCGGGGCCGAGGGCTTCGGTGCCGAGGTCGCGGTAGGTGGTGAATCCCGCGAGCAAGGCGGCGCGGACGTGCGAGGTGGCGCGGAGGATGCGTTCGACGGGGGAGGCGTCGCGCATTTGTTCTATCGAGGGGCGGTCGCTGTTGTTCCCGTGGGCATTGGATGTCATCAGGGGACGTGAATTCAATGTAGGTCGTGATATGGGGACGGGAGAGGGGGGCCGTACACGTACGAATGCAAAAACACATGCGTATGACTATCTACCAAACCGGGCAACACACACTTGGCTCCCCTCAGGTCGATGTCCCCGGCAAGAAGCTGGAAGTCATCATCATCGTCGTCATTACGTTCGTAGACATTGGCTATGGAACCGGTGTCTCGGTCGATTTCTATCGAGATGTTCTTCCGGAAGGCCTTTTGCTTGGGGTCGAAAAGGAGGGAGGAGTGCACCGTGAAGGTTTTGGGTGGTGAGGGTGGCATTACGCGAAGGGTCATCCCGAAAATATGGGCAAGGTGGAATCGGCTTGGATGGGTTGAGGTGAGCTATGGTGAGCGGTGGTCTTTAACCTCGATCTAGGTCTGGGGGGTTAGAGTTAGCTGGATGAGCGTATACTTGATAAGTGTTGAAGAGAGGATTGGAGGAGTTGATTGGTGCATAATGGTGCTTGTAGCTGGGATATTTCCCCACCTTTGCTCTTTTGGTACTGCGAAAACGGTGCGGTATGAGGCCGTCTTGAAAAAGGGCTGCAGTGTATACAATTGACTTGTTTCTCTGTTCAGAAACTTGAGATATGACTGGAGAGTTCGGGCAAGTAAACATACGAAAAAGGGGCACATACCTTCCTGTTTATGTATCCAAGATTTAGCCCCTGTAGGTAGCTATGGCACGCGATCATGTGCTCTTCATGTTGATGTTACCTTGATGGCTAGGACGGGTACCTTGATGGTTACCTCGTGTCGGTAGCCATGACTGCCGCCCCTCCCCGATGAACATGTCGATCTCCCTCTAGACACGCAATCAAAACCTTTGTTGGGCTTACTTTTCAAACCAGCGGTTGGTTGCTTGAAAGCGAAGAACTTTAAGAGGTCGAACCAAAAGACTGTCCTCAATTTCCGGCAACGTGTAGCCTCAAGTCCAACTAAATGCTGACATTGCCGACCCAGATCAGGACCGCCAACATCTTGCGTGACGCGGAATGGTAGGAAAAAACGACAGCGATATACATAAACGTCCATTGCACCACCACGTAGTCCCAGTCGTTCAAACATCACATAATCCCTAACCGTTACTGGCCCCATGGACCTGGAAGGCAACGCGGAAATAAGGTGGCCTTTGTATCATGAAACGTGTTGTTGATTTAACATAGCGCTGTTGTTCGTTGTGTTACCTTTGCCGGTAAGGTACCTATCCCAATGCTGACGATGCCCTAATAATGCCAATGCCCAGTTGTCCGTTCGTTCCCATCAAAAACAAACAAAATATCATTTTCTTTCCTGTTGTCTTCCCTTTAATTCTTTTGTCCTGGCAAGCTCGCGCCCTTCTTCTTCAGGATCTCCTCCTCTTCTGCTTGGATCTGAGCGTCGATCTTGGCACCCCGGGATGGCTCGTTGCCATGCTCCTTAGCCTGTTGGATTTCACCTGTTAGCCTAACCGTTTCTCTTGGTTGTTGGGGAGAGATATACGTACGGGAAGTGTTGGGTCCTTCTTGTGCAACTGAGTCTCTCTGCTGTCCTGTTGCGAGTCGTCGGCGGCCTCTGCGGCGGCCAGACGGTTCTTGATTGACCTCTCGTCCTTGGAGTCGGTATTCTTGTGGGCGTGGGCTTGGCCCTCGTTGTAGCGATCGGGGGTCTCGATCTCGGACTGCTTCACATTGCGCTGGTCACCGGCCTCGTAGACCTGAGAGTTTCCGACGTTCGAGTTTCCGCTCATGTTGCTGGTAGATGTTCTGCTGCTGGGGTGTTGCTGAAACTGTACGTTGGGAGGGAATCTGAATCCTGGAGTATTGCACATGAAACAAATGCTGGTGGCTTGTGGTGTTTTTGATGTTGTTCAAACTTGAATGCAGAGCAAAGACAAAAGACAACTACACGGCTACCTGCCTCTACTTATACCTAAACTCCAAACTCCAAAAGACGACCAAAGGAAAGGACGTTGGTCTGGTCATGGGGTCCACTGACTGTACGTCATGTCAGGACCACTCAGCTTCCACAGCTCACCTCCCACGAAATGGGGCGGTCTGCCCATCATGTGAAGCTCAGTGGATGGCAGTTGCCTGGATGTATGGGTTTGGTGATGGATTACAGTTATGGTATGGTAATGATGCGACGCCCACAGCGGGCAGGCGGACAACATCGGGCCGTCGGTCGTCTTGCGCCATTGGTGCCCCCCTTTGTGCCTTTTGGCTCTTGGTCCTATCATTTACGTCATTGATCGACAGGGCGCTTGGTAATTGCGGGGAAGCCAAAGTGCGCTAAAGTGTTTGCGTAAACGGCATTTTTTGACCTGAAAACGTTCAACAAATTATACGAATGAAAAGGTAAGCTTCGATTAACAATCACAGCCAATGCTGAGCTGGAACTTGTCAAGACACACCTGTTGCATACCTTTAAGATAAACATTGTTGCCGTCAGCACCTTGACCAAAATGCTTGGACATCCGGAAGGAGGTGCGCCAAGGCACTTTGTGTTTAGGCAGGCGGGGCCCTGCGGGAGATCCCACTTGTGGGGTGGGGGTGTCCAAACTTGTCCAAGCCATTGTCCAAAGAGTCCAGGAACCTCTCAACTCTCAAGTGGAGGGTCAAGGTCGGGATGAAGCAAAGGAGACTGCGGAAAGAGTTCCGGAATTGGTACCCGTATCAGTCCAGCATCTTCCCTCCATTGTCCAAAGAATAGAGTCTGGGGAGTAGAGCAGTCCAGATGAAACTCCAATGACTTATTGGGAGCAAACGGCAGAATCAATCTGGCCATGATATTGATATACTTGGAGAAAGAAGAACAAACGCACTCCTTCTGTATCTCTGCTCTGAAGGCAAGTTTACATATCAAAGGGAATCAGCCGTGCCAGTTTGATGGACATTCCACGACGAAGAGGCACAAATGCTCCGACAGCACAGACTTAGGCAAGTATCGGGGTCGACGGTAGACGAAGAGTGCGTGCTATGAGCTGCCACAGCTGGGCGGATTCATTGGTGAGGCGGAACATGCTTGTTGGTGAAGAACAGCGTTACATACCTGGCGAGCCTAGGTAGCTACCATATCAAGCGCCATGTGCTCTCCCCAAACAGCTGAAAGAGGTGACCCCAAACCTAAAGACTCCAACGTGGGAAATGCACCTGAACACGAGCATACAAGATCATGGTTTCTTGTTGTTTACCCTGCAAGTTCATCTATAACGCAAAGCCCTACTTACTACCTGCGCTTCGCCCACAAATAACAAAACAGAATCATGTCTGGAAGGAAGCCCTCAAGGTGAGGATGGCTTGATACATATTGGGGTTGCGGGCCTTCAGGTACAAGTACACTAGTGTACAGGTACGGCAGGGCTGTGCGATGTGGGTCGGTGAGGTTGCCAGGCGAGCCAGCAAAGCTCCACATTTTATCCCGATTGGGCAATCCGAGCTGAGGCTTAAGAACGTGGCCCAAGCTCCCAGCTCAGAAGTGTGCCTGCCGGGGCAACGCAGGTTTCCATTCGCGGACGTCCCCCGAACGATTCAACTTCACATCAACTAATCACCAATCATCAAGAACATCATCAACAGCCTCCTCTCACATATATCTTTCACTCTATACCCCGAATCCACCACATTTCAATACCAAAATGTTCAAGTTTGTAAGTGACCCAACGTACAACTGTGGAATAACTGCAGTGCGGCGGGAACCACAGTGCGCTGACTCAACTTGTTGGCTCATGTAGCTCCAGCCCAAGGTGCTTGACGCCATCACGCTTTTCCACAAGGCGAGCAATCCGGCTTCCATCAGGATTGCCACTCTTCTCAAGCAAGCTGCAGGCTCCGGTGCTGCTGTTTCCGACAACGCGCCTGCCAAGAAGTCCGACTTTGAGCTCAACATCACCGAGGAGGCCCCTACCACTGAACAGCTCACAACCATCTTGGACTATGTCGGCAAGGCGGGCATTCCATCCATCATCAGCAATGCCCAGAATCAGGAAGAAGCCCTGAAGAAGTTCAAGCAGAACGCCGATAGCCTCAATAGGCCCATTGTCCGTCTCTCCCCTCCCGCCCTGTGCACATTCCAAGGCGGCTTACTGACCAGATTACCTTGCATTGTAGGTGGTTGACTGGAACAACGGCAAGGTCTTCACAAGCGACAACGAGTCCGCCATCCTCAAGATGTTGGAGGCTCTCCCCAAGAAGAACTAATACTGCTGCGCATTGTCCTGCCTTCTTTTTCCGTTTCCCTTTTCCAGTTCTGTTGTTGTCCAGAAGATACTCCTCTCCTCCATGTCTGTTCTGTAAATATGTAATCGGCATTGTTGTCCGTCCTCCTCGCCCCGAGGCACCTTTACTTTATAAACACCAAGCGGTTGAATGAAGCATAAAGAAGTCTTTCCAATCAACCGGGCAAACCTGTCCGATACTAGTGGACGATTGCCTGTGTTCTCTTTTATGATATGGTGAGCGCCATTGGGGCTAAATTGTCGTGAACAAACTTTGAACGAAGAGGTATCGGCATTGATATCAATGTATCCCCACTTCGCGCATCCGCACAATGTCAGGTCCGGGTCCATAGGCAACAAGGAGAAGCAGGAGAAGATGGTTAAGCAGTACGGCAGCAGAGGAGCTTGCAGGAAAGGACTCGATGGCCGTTTCAAGCTGTCGTCCTGCCCAGATTTGGTGCGTTCCTCTGCGTATTCGGGCATGGTAATATTGGGCATGGCAAAGTTGGCTGGCAGCATGTCCGACGAATATGTCTGCCGGTAAAATATTGGGGCAAAAGCTCGGCCTCCCCTCGCTTTCCGGCTGCGCTCGCTTTCCGGTCAACAACACTTCACCTCGAAACCAGTTTTCCATTCACTTGTGCAGTCCTTGCATATAAACTGCCAGCGCTGATATTTCTCCCCGTCCTTTTTCTTCCTCCCATAAAATCCTTCCACAACCCCGCGTTCTGTCTGGTCACTACCAACACAGGACCACGATACTTTCTACCGTCCCAGAAACTGACCGACAAAGATACTCACTTCTGATCAACTCGTTGCAGCAGCCTTCTTTGCGAAGCGCATACCAGCTCTTCACAAACCGTCACCCCGCCAACACCGAGCTCGATCGAGCTCCTTCCAGCAACTTTCGCTCGTCGGCAAAGGCCTTTGCACATCTGATTGACTTGAAAACAAGGTTATTTGCCAGCACGTCTACTTATTTGTCACAGCACGGTCTAGCCCAGGTCGCCCAAAAGCCAAACTTGCGGTATATCACCATCCAGCCTACCACCCCTCTTCAAGAACATGGCTCGACACGCCACTCGCGAAGGTGTTCTCGTGCTCACATCCGACACGATGCCAACCCCCACCCTAATCACCGAGAACCCAAAGGTTAGTTTGTACACGTACTTGCCGTTCGGGTCGAGATGCGCTTTTTCGGTACATGCAGGCGAGCCTGCTCTTAACCATTCTTTGCCCGATCGTGGCACACTACGCGACTGGTCTCCGCAGAAGGTCGAGGAAGCTGCAGCAGTAATTCGCAGGCTTCACACCGATGCTGTCGAAGGCATGACTGCCCCCTGTCACTGGGAGGACCTTCACCAGTACTTCCACCCTATCGATCTGTGGTGCAAAGGCGCTTCTAATCTCCATAAGGTGATCTTGCGACTCCTCAAAGAGAATGAAGTCTGCATATGGGTTGAAAAGTGGCTCACCTGGGAGCAAAATCGCTACAAGCTGAGTCTTTGGGATACCATCCAGGATATCCGTTCGGTCTTCGACCCTTCTGACTGGTACAACATCCACGCCCCCAATACTCCTTTCCCGGAAGAATACGTAGTCTTCCTCTGTGGCGTGCTGAAATATTGGTATGACTATTATCGCAACCTGGAGATCGTGGCCGTGGCCTCCGCAGGTACAGCCGTACTAGTTGCTCCGGCCATTGTGGCCACTAGCCCTCCGGAGGATACACTTCAACTTGAAGGTCAAGGTAAGTTCACACATCACTGCTGCCTCCTGGTCTTCTTCCTCCGATAGCTCAGCGTGAGACGAAGCTATCCAACTAACTCCTTGTAGGCGCCCCCATAACATGGTCTCCTCCTCGTTCCGTCCGTTCCTCGTTGGCGGCGGCTCATCCGCCCGTCGTGCGCTCTACGTCGTCAGCATCAATCCAAGCCACGGCCCCTGACTTTATCCCCTTGATTACACGAAGCTCAGCGGACCTTTGCGACCTACCTGCTGCCAGCAAGGTCGAGACTCAAGCCATCAACGAGCATGTCCAAAGGGCGAACAAAGTACAACACAAGCCATCAAAGTCAGGCCCAATCCCGGAGTCTGAGCTCAGCAAGCTCCAAGTTGAGACGGGAATTGCAGGTCCTTCTCGTCTTCCCAACAGAGCCTTGCAGCCAATGCCGGCTCCATCCAAGCCCTCTGCTACTGTTACTGAGGTACCCCATACCGGAAATGTCCTCCCAAGCCAATCTCAGCTTGGAAGCGCCAACCCGCCCAATGAGACTCGTGAGCAGAATACTTCCGGTCATCTTCCCAATCAGCCTGCCTCGGTGACCCAAGCGAAAGGCCATCAGAAGAAGAAGAAGGGAGCCGAACAGAAGGCCAAGAACGGATGGTCTCACTCACGGAACGACCCCATACACGGCCCAATCAGGCAGCACAATAAACAGTCTCAAGGGAGCAGCAAAGCCAGCACCCTTCAAACTTCGAACCCGGGCAACCACTGCACACCACTGCGCCAAGCAGCAGCCAACTCTCTTCCACGTTGTGCTAACCTTGGGAAAGGGGGTTATGAGGCCATCTGGGAACACTGTGAGTGTCCTACTTGTGAAAGGAAGAACCGCAGTGTCCGTGCTCGCCTTGGCCAAAGAACAACATTCACGCCGACCGAATTGAAAGCCATCGAGGATTATATGTGTCAATTCGGAGTCTTGGAAGGCTGCAGAGCATCATCAAGCTATAGCCATGACAAGATGGTTGCATATATTACGTGAGTATCTGCAACCTTGAAACACATGGAAACCCTTAAAGACTCACGCTGACTCGTGGTTTAGTTTCCGGAACGAAGAAGATGCGGTGACAGCCGTGCACATGGGCAATGGTGCCCGAATTGAAGTCGGCACCGACGATCTCCGTCTGCAGCTCGAGCACCCCTGGGTCAGCAAACACTGGCGGTCTCAACCCCAGCAACGCGCGGCTGGAACTGGCCCACAACTTACCAAGGGACCTGCACAGCTTCAGGAGCGCACACCTCCTGCTACTTCTGGCCCAAGGGCTGGTGATCTTGGCAGTGGCGGTTCAGCCCATTTGCACAATGTGCGAAACTCTTCGAAGAACTCACCTATGCCAGAGGCTGATCCCTTTGTCGGAGGAAATCCGAGGAACTTCAATAATATGATCTCCCATCATCCGCCTCACCCACACCACCACCCTCACCTGCCTCATCCCCCTCATCTCCCTCATCCGCCTCATCCGCCTCATCCTCATTGCCATGCTCCTTCGGCCTACAGCATGTCTGCTCACGGGCAACCCGTCCCTTTCCGCCCTGCTCATGTCCCTTACGCCAGTCCTAGCCACTTTGTGCCTACATATCCCCAACCGCCCCCCTTTGGCAGCGGCCCACCGACAGTGCCACCGGTAGTGTCACCGCCACACTTTCCAGGACCGCCCAGAAATTATCCGTGGCCACCAGGTCCGGGGGTCCCAACTGTCCATAATCAGCCTATGATGCCGATGGTCTATACCCCTTGGCCCGAAAAAACCCCGCATGTACCTCATCCTGGTGGCCCTCGTCACAATTGGCATATTCCCATCCATCCTGGTCAGCCTCGGGGGTCGTTGGCAGGTCCGTCGACGGGAGCACCGGCAGGAGCATGGGCGGAGCAGATGGCCAATCAGCCATCAACTCAGCCCGGACAGTCGCACGTCGAGCATCCCCAAAGAGAAGGTTCACGTGCGCAAACTAAGGAACCTGCCGAAGTGCACGTACTGCAACTGGAGGGGTCATCATCCTCAAGGAACTCCAACTCACCTATCTCCCACGGGATTCCGGTGAGGCTACCTTCATCTGGTAGGACATCGGAGGAAATTCAACTCGAGCAAGAGAGAGCCTCCGCTTCACAGCAAGACTCGAACGGCGAAGAAGATCAGGCTGAAATCAACCAGGAAGGCAGAGAACATCATGAAACCCACATCGTCGGCGATTAGAAGACGTCGAAGAGGTCGGGATCAGATGAGCAACTTCAAACTTCCAAAGATCAAGGCTCAGACGAGATTACTGGAACAGTTGTTCGGCACAAACTAACCGGGGGAGACATTACTGGAACAGTGATACGCCATAAACCGGCCGGTAGGCAAGCTTTGCCGTCTCAGTGGCTTGCACAAGCACCAGTCACCCAGGAGGAAGCGTCGGAGAGAAACTCGGGCCCGGCAGATGTTGTCCCACCCACGGCAGAGCTTCAGGAAGCAGACAAGGAACCGAAGGTGCCCGGGAACGGAAAGGGCAGGGGGAAGGTCAACAAAAAGAAGAAAAAAGATAATAGCGCTGCGCAGAATGCATCCTCTCAGAACACTGTGGGAGAGTTAGCGAACCTGGTGGACACTAGTCAGGTTATAAAAGAGGAGTCACAACCGGCGCCAGATGTTGTTAAGAGCAAGACGATACAGGCCGCGCAGGATGATGGGCCTCCCAAGAAGGCGGCCAAAAAAAACAAGAAGAAGCCTGCGAAGAGAGGACTGAGTCTCGTCGAGCAGACTTCCGACATCCCCAGTGCTCCTGTCGAGAGCATCCCGGCTGAGAGCGCCCCTGTCTCGACTGCCCCTACTGAGTGCGCTCCCGTTGAGAGTGCCGATACTCTCGAAACTACAGCAGTCATTGGCAAAGGCGAGTCTATCTCCTCTGTTATCACAACAAAGCCATATCGTGCTGATGCCGGTGGCTCTCTTCACGTCTTCCGGCAGCGCTACAAGCCAGCCATCAGGGATATTTTCGCACCGCCACAAGACGTCGACATACCCGAAGAATGGGCCCCAGACAACAACGTTAGGGGAGGCAAGAGTTTGTGCAACATTGCTCCTGCGAACTCGCCAAAGCTCCAACAAGAAGCGACAAAGGAACAAACCAGAAAGAAGATACACGGTAGCTTCGGCAACCTCGACGTAGGCTTCAACCCCTGGCCACGCGCCCCTTCAGGGGAGGTCTGGAGTCCGACCAAACGGCCTACTGTGGCTAACACCTCCATCAAGCGCTCAACGACGCCGGCGCCGCCTCAGGTCATAATAGAGCCGGCCCCAGCGGTTGATACGGTGACTAAGTACGGCTTGCCTACCCCATCCAGAGTGGCGTTTAAGGATACCATGGAGACAATCGGTCTCGGAGAGGATATTTATGCACATCAGAGAGGCGCTGGTTCGAAGAAGCCGTCGGGTTCATCGTTTGTGTCGATGACTGAGAGTCAGTATACCACTGCCAGCTACCACACCGCCAAGTCTTCCCTATCATCAGGAGAGAAGACGCCTCCTGAGAGCACTCCACCTGCTTCACCTTAAGTCGCACCCTGCTGCCGCTTGGGTTTACAGAACTGATGGAGGAACAAAATCCGCGGCCACATCCAGCGGTTGCGTTAGGAGGCTTCGTCGTCCGACTTCACAGGAGGCTTGCACAGTCATTCTTTTCTCTGGTCTGTTCATTCTATTCCGTTTCTTTTGTTTACATGTGTATCACACATTTGCTTTTCACTTGCTTGAGCTTGGGCAGCGTCACGGCATGGGTCCGTATCAGTGGACGCAGGAAAGTTGGTCGGCCTTCAACAACAGTCATGCTATGTGGCTCCTGCTTCAGTGCATAGTTGACATACATGTTCATCAACCGCTTTCCAGCGGTAACTATTCTCTTCTTCAGTATAGCATTCATGGCTTATGTACTCTGGTCTACTTTACAGTGAAGTAGGGCAACCTTAACACTTAGTCTAGTTAAAATTCACGTTTTACATCCAACGGAGGTAACCACTTATGCCGCATCAAGTGGCAATGATCACAACCTGGTGAGACAAATTGGACTGGTAAGGTGACGTGAAGTACGATGGATTACCATAGAAACTCGTCAAACTCGTATGTCGGAACTACAGAGTTGAAGGCCTCAAGTGTTCTTCTGGTCGTTTTCTAACATACAAAATGGGTAAATAAGCGGCCCTCAATTCTGCTGCATTGTATAAAAAGTTCAAGTTTCTTTGCATTAAACAAACTAACACCAAGTCGTTGAGTTGCCTTTGCGCTGCAAAGGATAAAGGGTCTTAAACCGCAAATGGGTAAGATTCATCGTTCTTTTATACTCGCCGAAGTAGAGATGGTCTATGGATGAAACTATAACTGCGTATGTTCTCGTACAGCTTTCTTATAGGACTTGAAATCATTCAACTTACTCAGCTTCGGTCAAGGTTGATCAACTTCGATTGACCCAAATCAACGCAAATTGATCCACATCAACACCAATCGACCCAACTCAACGCTTCTACAGACACATCACGCCCTTTATACGAAAACCACTCCAGAACAACCACAGTCTATGATTCCAAGCCCGTCAGCTGACTAACTGGCAGAAAATCCGGACGGCCCGGGCACCGCCTTACGTACTCCAAAGTTCACGCTCATGAAGCAGATCAACCAAAGACCCACGCCATCATGACCCTTGTGGCCAATGTCTCGGTTCGTTTCAAAATACGGTGTATAAAGTCTATATTATGTACGTTGCTCTCAAAGTCCGTAGCTGATTTTTTCCAGCTGTTACCGGCTGCCGTTTATTTCGTATCGACCGTGATCCGTTGGCGTTTTATTCCCTCACCGTCCAAGCCATCCCGTTGCCTCAACAACGCATCTCAACGGACCAGATATCTTTTCTACCTGCAACCGACTTCAACTTGTCTCGACTAGTTGTCGAGTCTCTTCTTGCGCATGACGTTTTGCTGAAAGGCATCAATAACCAAAGCTGGGCACAATACCCTGTAAGTGATTGCATACAAGACAGCAGCAGTGCACCCAACGAACAACCTAGTTGCGTCAAACTAACTTGCGGCAAAAAAAATCAGGACATCCAGATGCCCGATATCAGGAACTAAGAGGGCAGGGTCGACCCTCCCGCCCCCGCCGCGCCATCATCGCCCGATATGGAAGCAGTAATCGAAATCTCTCGAGAAGAATTCCAAGCGCGAAAAAAGCGACGCATTGAAGCGAAGAGAAGCAAAGCCGTCAACGTGCTCTTCGTGCCCGACATCAAGATCAAGGGAGAGAACAAGACCGACCCGTCCGCGCCACCATCGCCGGACGAGGAACCAATAACTGAAATCTCTGGAGAAGAATTTCAAGCGCGCTGCAAGAAACAGCGCATTGAGGAGATGGAGAGAAGCGAAGCCACCAACAAAATGCCGTTCACATCTTCTCTCTTCGTACCCAGTATCAAGGAGGAGAACGGCCGCACCAGGGACAGGGACGACGACCCTTTGCGCCTGCGCCCGCGCCGGGGCCCAACATGTTCACACCTTACGTCTTCCAGGACGAATCCCTTGGCCAAGATAGTGATGCGAAGAACGAGCACATTGATTACTGGAGGGACAGTCTCTCCTCGAAACAGCGTCTTCGCTTCGCTTTGAAAAAGATATTGGAGTCTAAAGTCAACCATGCGTTGGCCATCACTGCTGAGCACAAGGTAAGTAGGTACCTCTGGTAATTGTGTAATGAAGTGACAAACCAAACCAGGGCAGCCACTCCGATCTAGACTAGTTAATTCACACCACAAAAATTGCTAGACCATTCTCCGCCCTCTCCTGCTAAAGCCCTACTGGGTCAAAGACCAGCTGGTCCCCTCCATCCTCAAGTGGGAGCGTCATGAGCATTACACCGGCGTTGCTCGCTACCTCTTTACACCGAAAGATAATGAGGAAGCTTGCACCAAGTGTGCGACCACGGACAATTATGGCCCGTTTGCAGAGTGTGTCGCTGGGGGTCGTGGCGTGCACATGGGTGCGTGCTTCAACTGCTACTACAAGAGCGAAGGGAAGTGCTGCTCGCTCCGCATCGGTATGTTGTTGTCTTTTCTTCCGTCTTCGTTCTTTATCGTCATCCTCGCCTTGGTCACTACCTTGTTTCGCTTGGGACTTTTACTGTACTGGTACTTCTCCTTGTCGAGTCGTTGAAGTTTCTCTCGCACTTCTTGTTTGTGTGCTTTAAACGGCGAGTGTGCCATTCTTTCTTTCCCTCGTTAATCTTCAACTTGTCAGATGTGTCAAGAATGGCCATCGTTCGTTCTGTCCTATTGGTTTGATGTCTTGCCTTTTACCGCAGCTTTGCAATTACGCATCAAACTGATATGAATTATTACTACTATCTAGCTTACGAAAAGGCAGAGGAGAAAGCGCGCGGCAGGCACGAGACGGTGTCCCGTTTTCAGCCATGACCGTTCGCAACGCTAGCACAAGAGATTTAGAGAAGGCGTTGCGGTGGATTCGGGATGAGATCAGAATGCGTGAGGAGGAATGAAGTATTTGGAAGTATTAAGCATATCTGTTTCGTATCAACTGTCCTCTACATCTATCTGGAACACTCATATTTCAAGCGTACCGTTACCATTAAAATAAGACGTCGGCTGCCTGAGACTACCTAAATAACATCATCGTTAGACACCTTGATCATACGATCCGGATGGCATTGACGACAAATACATATATGCATTCCATATATATGCTCGATTTCTGAACTTGCTGAGATTGGTCAGTTGCCATCTGGATTACATACAAAATGAGACCAATATGTCCGTTATCATTATTTATCATCCAGTCCCCAACCGGCGCAAGTAAGCGAATCCGGCCAACAATTCTCTCGAAGAGTGACGAAAAGCACCAGAACAAAAAGAGAAACAAAAGTAAAAAACGTCAATCACTAACAGGAAAGAACCGCTGGTTAACTCATGGAATAAGCAAAAAAAGCAAAAGAAGATGCCCAATAACAGGATTGAACTGTTGACCTTCGCATGGACTTGATATCTCAGAGAGGAGATATTAGTACGACGCTCTAACCAGCTGAGCTAATCGGGCTGTTGTTGAAAGTGGCACCACATGTGGATCTTATGTCTGACAGGTAATGTCAGTCACTCTGCACGGGGGTATGAATGTTCCTTGTCTCCCACGCCAGTGCCAGCAACAATTTGAACTCCAACGATAATGTTGGTTATGATGATAGTTCGGCTCGAGTGAGGTAATGTCGAGTAATTTTCGTAGACTTTAATAAAAATTTTGGTGAGTGATGTAGTGCCTGATATGCCTTTGCATGCCCAACATAGGTAGACACAGCGCTGCGCTCTGCCACGCCCGATATGACCTTCTCCGGAAAGGGCTTTGTTTGGATACTCACGACTAAGGCGGGTGGTGTTGGGCTTGGATCGAAAATTCATATACGGTGTGACTTTTGTCTTGGAATTTAGGTACTGCTTATAACGGGGTAACTTGAAAAAGACGAAGAAGTCGGAGTGTCCGTCCCCTCTCTTCATTGCTCCTTCCCATTGCGACAACACTTCCTCCTGCGACATCCTCATACTTACCCCGCCTTCCTTCCATCCCATCTTCTACCTACCTTATCCTTCACTCGTCTTTTATCTCCTTGGCGGGGTCGTTAACTCGATAATGTGAGAATCTGCACTGGGTCCTTCCTTCCCTCTGACAAGGAGGTGATTCACAACTGCCCGAGGAGATCATCCACACCACCTTCCACCAAGGCATCATCACCAGAAGCAGAACAAAATACCGTAAGCGCATGCAAACTGAGACAGTAACATACACGCTTTCAAACCTGAATTAACTCGCAGCAAGGAAAGCGTCAAGATGTCCGATATCCGAGTGGAGCAACAGCTTCTCGCCCCATGAGCGTCTTCGCTTTGTCTTGAACAAGCTACAGGAGTGTAACGTCCCTGAAGCTTTATTCATCCCCGTTCAGCACCAGGTAAGTATATACTGTAGCCAGCCCAGACCCTCAAGTGCCAACTCGGATCACTCTCATCTAGGTAGTTAAGCTATAACGCCATCAAGGCTAATCTGATTCTAATCTGATCTGATTTGTTCACAGACCATCATCCGCCCCATCTTGCTCAAAACCTACTACGTCAAAGGCAAGCTCAACGATTTCCGATTCAAACGTCGCCAGATGGTCGGCTTCAAATTTGCCAAGGGCAAGCTCGTGACTTCCAAGCTCGAGTGGGATGAGGAGCGTCCAGAGCATTACACCGCTGTTGCTCGGTACCTGTTTACTCCGAAAGAGAATGGGCAGAAGAAGAAGACTTGCACCGAGTGTATGAACCCGGAGAAGTACGGTCCGTTTGCGGAGTGTGTTGTTGTCGCTGCTGGCAATCCGAGAGACGGTGAGCATCAGGATGGTGGTGCGTGCCTGAATTGTGTTTATAAGGGCGAGGAGGAGGGTTGCTCGCTTAGTGTCGGTATGGTTTTTTCATTTCTTTTTTTCACCTGTCTCTTGATTGTGAAAGACATTTCATTAACTAATAATTCATTAGCTTTCAAAGGTGATCCGAAGAAAGCCCGCTATTCCGGAAGCCGTGTCCTTTTTTCACGCGAAACCATTCACGAAATCCCGACAGACATGTTGTTGAAGGCGAGGGAGGTCCTTGTTGCCGAGATTGCAAGGCGGAGGGCGAATATGGAACAGCAGTGATGGGAGATATCAAGCGTTTGTTAATTGCGTCGACTTTGTCCCGTACGTAGTAGGGGTGGAGGACTTCTGGGATGATTTGCTAGGGCAGAGTAGAGCACGATGAGCAGCTTTGGCGATATATAAAGCTAGTTTCGTTACCAAGGAGGGGCTGAACAAAGGTCACAACAACTGACCAGCTCACAAGCCCCAAGTACGAGGCTTTTGATATACTTTATCTTGAGCTCTGAGTGGATTGGACTTGACCCCATATTCCCATGTGCTGTTATCCAAATCCGCGACTCATCAAGTGTAGTGCTGCCAGATATATCATGATGTGCACGTACAAAATCAAATCAGTCGCATATTCGGCCCAAGAAACAACTAGAAGACAAGTGTATATGAAGAAAAAGAAGTAAAGTAAACGCAACAGAATCGCCTAACACGCCTCGCCATGCAATAATTGGTAGGTGGTATTCCCTAATCCCCTTCTTTCAAACTTTGACAGATATCAGATAGATGTCCGCTCCTCTTACCGCTCCAAGCGGCCACAGTAATCCAACAATTTTTAGATACCAAGCTGCTTCGCTCCTCACATTTATACTTGGATTGCTCATCGGCCTTATAGCCCGATCCCACGCACGCTCCGTTCCGACTATGCCGTATCCTCTCTATTCTTCTTCGAATCAAAACTGTCCAGGCGGAAACTGTCCAGACTGCTGAAATTGTTGAGACTGATACGGCCCATTCTGATACGGTCCAGCAGGGGGATATTGTTGTCCTGGCAGACGAGGCAGCGGAGGCTGAATCCGTTTCCCGTCTAAGAACTGGGCGCTCCTGCCGTCATAGTAAAGGTTCTTTGTCTCCATCTGTCTTCGCGCTTCAAATGCGGCACGCTCCTCTTCATCTAAGGCAAACGCCTTCTTAAGCCACCCGAACGCGCTCCGCTTTTTCTTCAGTGATTTCGCACCGGCTGTTTCCTGGCTCGCTGTCGTCCCCGTCGTCATGTTGCTCCTCACGCTCATGCCCATAGCAGAAGGAAGGTTCCGTGGCGGCACCTGGTGAAGCTGACTGTGTTGTTGAGGGGATTGGTATGGCGACTGATATGGGGACTGCGATTGCCCTGCGCGCTGTATTGGGTTCCTGACGTGTGCGGTCTTTGTTGCAGAGGAGAGTGGGGGGCTTGCCTGAACGGGGCGCCAGAACTGCATCCCACTTTCGGAGTGAGGGAGGAAACAAAACCGGGGTGCATGAGTGGTGGCGGCGGCGGGAAGTCGGAAACTGTATCAAAGGAGGCGATCGAGTTGACTGGCGGTCGCTCCATATCCGATCCGTAAGCAGAGTCTGATGCCTGGTATGCTCTAGACAATGGGAGTAACGAGTCTCGATATTCTGGCGAATCCGGTCGAGGTATATGTATCGAGTCCGGTGGTGTACTCTTCTGTGAAACTCGTTGTCTGAACGAGCTTCTTTGCTCCGGATGGACTACTACCTCTGGCAGCGAGTCTGGCGATATCCTGCGAGCTTGATTTGATGGTGGTCTTGAATATCGTGTATCAACCTGAGCCAACTTTGGCTTCGAGGGTTGTGACCTGAGCTCCTTCGAAGGCTGCGGTCTAAGCTGAGGGTTTGGTGGATTATACACCTTTGCCTCCAATGTTGGCTCCAGACTGAACACTTTAGCCTCCAGTTTCGGCTCCTGCTTGTACGCCTTTGCCTCGAGTGTCGGTTCTTTAGTACACACCTTCGCCTCCAGCGTCGGTTCCTTCGGCTTTTCAATGGTGGGCACCGGCGATTCCGGCTTGTGGCTGACGGGTTCATCTTTCTGCTTCGGGCGGTCGAAAACGCGAGGAGATGGAAGAGGCGATGTCTGTGGTGTATACGTTTTGGGTTGAAGGAGGTAAACCGGCTCTTCTTCTTCTTCTTCCTCCTCCTCCTCCTCCTCCTCTTTGATTTCATCCTTTATCTCGGGAGCTGTCTCAAGCTGAGATGGCGCAAGTTGGGGAGGGGCGGCCTTAGAAAGCCGCCGGGGGTTCCGGGCTGGTGGGGGCGGAGACTGTATGGGCAGTTCTAGTTCCGATGAAGACCTGCTATCTTCCACTGTGATTTTCTCTTCTGCAATCTCATTTGTTGGGGCTGTCGATGGGATGTCCATTGACGTTGAATGTGTAGATGTTCTAGTAATCTTCAGATCGAAGTACGAGGTTGGCGACGACTGCTTTCCTTCTACTATCGAACTGAGCCGCAACGATAACCGAGGAGGCGTGTTTGGAGTCTTAGCGATAGGAGACGTCGGGGGTGTAGTGACGGAGGATGCGTCGGAAGCATGGGGGCTGTGACGTGGTGATGTGAAAGGCTCGATGGTGAACTGGGAGAAGGTCAGCAAAAACAGGGGATTTTCGAAATGGAATGTAGCAGCCATGCAATAGGTAGAGGATACTCACTCGTGTCTTTCGGCTCACTTCACCCGCTCTCCGCTCCATCTCGGAAATGATGCCAATCAACTGGACAATAACCTTATTTAAAGCGTTGCCCTTCTCTTCCAGATCCATAAACGCTTGAAACCACCCATCGGTATTTCCCTTCATTGCATCAAATATGTCGATTACGTCTGGGCGCTCTTTCCTCCAGCGACCGTGCTGCTGCTCCGCCAGATAAATGGTGAAGTCCCTCGTAGACTCCAGTCCTTCGGTAATGTCATTCATGATCTGTTGGAGAGCGACCTGTGTCCGGGCTACAATATGCTCGATCTTCTCGTTTCCTTCGATTATCCTAAGCCGAAAGTTGCGATCCTCCAGCATCCGTTCGAAGACCTCGATGTTATCCATTGGCAACCTCAAATGGATGATGCGCTCGCTCAAATCTTTCGTTGCTAGGCCAATATCCTCTAGGATCGTCTCCAAAAACTCATCCACCTCGTCGATATGGCCCTGAAGAATCGCCACGACAGACATTTGACTATTCGCCATCCCGTTGAGCAAAAGATAAACGCCAAAGGAAATTTGCGACATCAGCCGACGCAGCTCGTGCGTTTGTTGCCCCGGACGATAGCGCCATTGGGCCGCTGGGGCTTCGGCCGACTTGCCTTGCTCCAACAGCTGTTCCCGACGGGTTTTGGCGTCGCCGGTACGCAGCTTTGGTTTTGTGGTCGCACCACCCTGGGTGGCTTCGAATAGGGATTCTGCAAAGGCTTCTTGCATGGACGGAATGGGATGACGGGGCGCTGGTGGTGGTCGCGGTTGCGGCTGTGGCTGCGGTGGCTGCTGCTGTTGCTGTCGTTCGTCCCGGTGGTGGTCCAACTTCCTCCTGTGCCTGTACGACTCGGTTTGTTCTGTGTCCGACTCGGTGACTGTCCCCTCGTCCTCGCTCCCTTCATTATCCGGGACCAGGACGATGGGGAATTGGCCATCCGGACTGAGGGGTGACGATCGGGCCATGGTAGGCACTGGTGGTGTGGATAAAACCACTACGGTTTAAACTTGAGATAGGCAATCAAAAATAGCACCGATGAGGAGCCCGAAATGCTAGCTTCTCATGGATGCCTCGCGGGCGACGGGGTCCTCGTTTGGCTTCTCCCCTTACGGCGGGCGATCGACAGCGAACGGCAAGTTGTGGGATAAACGCGTGGAGGTGTGGACGACGGCGTGGTACGGTCGAGGTTCCGTTCAAGGGAATGGCCGATTTGGTAGGTAGCGGATCTACCAGGCAATGGAAGCCAGTGCACCGGGCCGGCGCTGGCAATCACCCACTGCAGACGGGATGCACTCAGTGCTGCAGGTACCCGCAAACTCAGCGAGCTCAGGACCCTCCTCCAGTGGGACAGGTGCAGCTGTCAGACGGACAGGGCGGGTCGGTAGTGGAAACTGGAACTGGGGGAACCCGAGGTTCGGATTGAACGCCTTTTCGTCAATCCGTCGCGATGTTGGATTTGAACCGTGTACCTGGGCTCCGTCAGATGTTGGACCGTGATGCCCGGTACTACGTGTAATGTGGTGTAAGGAATGCCCCAGCGGTGGGCTCTGGGCGGTCCAGGTGTTGATAGACGGCGGGAGCTTGATTATCAGGATTATCAGGACTATCAGGGTGGGAATCGGGGGGTTCTGATCGGCAGAGGTGTAAATCACGACGGTCCTTCCGGGTAGTGGTCGGTCTTTACGGCGTCGCTGGGCGTGTTTGGTGGTTGTGGGTGGGACACACGGCGGTCAAGTGGCCATCCGATGTATGTGTAAGTGAAAATGCGGAACGGAGGCGGCAAAAGGAAGAAGCGCTTCACAAGTCGCGTCCAGGTATGGACAAACAGTTCAACCGCGAGTTTGTTGGTGAAAAGGAGAACAAAGACAGGTTGAGTTCGCTTGGAAGCGAGAAATTCATAGCACACTACCTGAGAGCTGACGACTCCATGGCGCCTGGGACTGTCCTCGCCTAGACACCGGCAAACATTGGGAAGCCGAAAAGCTGGGGAAAACAAAATGAAGCTCAGGTGAGCCGGCGTCGAATGGGAGCGGAGGGCAAGCCAGTGGGAGCCAGTGGTAGGGGAGGGAACCCAGGTCTATCGAAATGGAGCATCTGGCCGGGCCCCATCGAGCACTCCGGTTCCTGGCGCGGTCCCTTGGGCGTACCTGGGCCGTCCCTGGGCCGTCCCTGGATGGTGGGCGAACATCCATGTTGCAAATGGCTGCAATGGGAGACGCTGTCCGGTCGAGATTGGTCCAGTATCTCCCAGGGCACATGCAATTGGATGCAGTCAACTGTGCCCCTGGACTGCAGGTGCATTTGAAGGAACACATTTTGACTTTTTTTCTTTTCCACACGCATGTGAGTGACCCCTCCCACCTTCATCTCCCAATATTTCAACCAACAAATGGCAATATTTATCCGTGTTACTTATCTCTGCTCTGTTGGACGGACCTACAGGAAAGAACCAACGTACGTTACTAATCAGGAAGAGATCAGATCGAGGTCCCCCCAAGCCTCTTGAGCATTCCCGCCTTCTTCGTTTTCTTTTCCGCTTTGGGGATCTGCATTTCCCGGCGCCTACAGAAGGAGCCAACCTCGCAGAAATATGCAGCTCAGTTGCTGCTGTCTCTTTCTACGCTCGCTCAGTACCGGGATTCCTCGGCCAAGTCCACGTTTGTTCGGCCACACTTTCATTTCCACTTTTGCCCTACATTCTCACTCATCGTTAATTTCAGTCAATCGCTCACCGTCAACGTTCCCTCTTGTTGCTTTGATATCTGGCAGTGGACTTGGAATATTAAGTGTAAGATGAGAGTTGCAACATTGTAATCCCAGCCGCTTCCTGGTAGTGGTGGTGTATCGGTGTGTACGTTCCATTGTAGATTTGCCTCATTACCGCCATCATAGTCGCCAATCTGTCGTACGTACGCAACTGCAAATCTAGGTACACTACAGAATATTGGTGCGCATCGCCGCAATGCAATGGAACTATAAAAAACAGTGTTCCCTAGGACGGTTACATTCATCATCGATCCAATTTTCCTTCTTCCCAAAAGGGCTTATTGCCGTGCTCTGTAAATAGGATTTGTGGAATGTCACCTAACCTTCCTTCAGGGGGACCCTCGACTCCTCAAGAACCCCTTTCCCAAGAAGAGAGGCACACAACGACGGGACGGGAGTCTGGGGCATGGCTTTTGACCTGGTCAACGCCACACAGAGCCCCTCAAAGCGAAAGAGCCCCGTCGTGATATCGTGCGGAAAGTTATAGACACATTCGGGTTTTTCGCTGACCGAAACTCCATTTTTGAAATTCCGCTGTTTGATACTACGCTGGTGGAAGCGTACCAGGTCATCTATACTCGGCTATCCTACTGAAGTCATGGTACATATGGGCAAACCATGGCATTTTTACATATAATAAAAAGCATGAACAACACCACTCAGCACTTCAAATCAATACCCTTTCTCAGCTCCGACTGTCTGATCTCAAACATGACCTGAATGCCCACAAACAGGGCAATGCAGGAGCCCGTGAGGAAAGAGATGCCTATAAAAGGAAAGTTAGCAAAACAGTTCATCGGAGAAAGAGCGAAAAATCAAGCAACCAGTTCGAAGTGACGTACCAGTTAATCCTCTGAACAGACCCTCCCAGAGAGCCTTCATGGCATCAACACCACCACCAAAGCCCACCACGTTCGCGCTGATCATCATCAACACGTTGCCCACCGCGCCCACGCAGCACAGCATCCTGTACGCCGTCGGCCTGCCCTCCCACTTCCTGCGCGGGAACAGATAACCGGCCGCGATCTCAGGCAGGAAGAATGCAACAATAAGCCAACTCCACACAAGCAATTGGAAGTCCACGTCGTGCCAGATAGCCACGAACATAAACACAGCCAGGTAAGTGACGACGGAGTAAGCCGAGCTGGCGAGCGTCCTAAAGTTGGACCCGCCGAGCGGGATATAGATATAGCGGAGTGTCCATCGGTAAAAGGAGCGGTGCCAGGAGCGCCAGAAGGACAGGGTGCTGTAGTTGTCGCTCACGCACCGCAGCATGTTCTCGGGCGGGTCGATGCCGTCCACCAGGGCCCAGAAGCGGAAGAGACGCCAGGGGACCAGCAGCTTCAGCCAGATGATATGCAGCTTAAAGAACGAGAGCAGAGCAATCTGCGCGGGCGTGTACGAAGACCAGTCCGGGCGAGCGTTGGAGATGGCGTTGGCATAGTTGAAGTGCAGCACGAACTCCATGGCGAGGAGCACGAGCAGGCAGCGGATTCCGTACTTGATGGTGCGCGAGAGCTCGATGCTGGCGGACTTGTACCGGCATTGCGAGATGTAGTCGTTGAAAGTCAGAATCGGACCCGCAAGGTATAGGGGGGCGTAGATGGAGTAGGCGAAGTAATTGCGGAAGGAGTAGTTGCTCTTGGGCGCAGGAGTACCGACTCGGTCGCGTTCGGAAAGGTTGGCAGGGTCTAGTTGCTTCTTCTTTGGTGCGTCAGTAAGAGCGCGAACGGGAAAGGGGCCAGAGGTTAGGGCGGAGTGTGTTACCTCAATGGGACTGCCGCCCTGTCTGTCCGTCATCCAGGCATAATCGAGGTTGAAGCTGATCAGCCGGAGAATGGTGATGTTGAACAGAATGTGCCACCGGTTCAGGAGTCCTTGTTGATTGTCCATCCAGGAAGCAAGATCAAGTAGGCTGTCAGGTGCAAAGGGAATCAAGTCCACGAATGTCTTGAATCTGTAACCATCATAGACCTTCATAGTCACTAGGATGTAAAGGTTGAAAATCCATGTCGCCCATGGAACAACCTTTCTCGGGAGCCTCGTTGCGACTTGGTAGTTCAGCCACAAAAGACCAAAGATTTTGAGTCCGCTGGTTCCATGGAGGACTGTGAGGAGAATGGCACCAAAGAAGGCATCAAATGAAATGCGCTGCTCCAGCCTTGCCTCGGCAGCTCTGGGCGAAGTTTCCGAGACACCAGGTTCAAGCCGTGCGGGCTTGAAGAGGTTCCAAACTCGGCGCAAGAGCGGTTGAACAACGAGTAGTCCAAAGATGTGCGGAATCTTGCCCCGAATGGTTTTTAGTTGGCTGTCCGACACATCCACTTTGCGACCCAGCATCCATCCTTCTGACAGATAGCGCTGGAACTTTGGATATCTTGGATCGGATTCCCTGGAGACTTCAAATGGTACCCAGAACATGTAGGGAACTGCAATCAAGAACATCAGGTAGTATAGGTAGAACTCGGGTGTGCTCCATTTTGACCTCTCTGCTCTTTTCCCTTTGCCCAAACCGCCCTCTTGTGCTCCAATTGGATCTTTCCTCGTCTCGGCCGCAAGTTTGTATGGAATGGACGAAGGTGTTGTGAATCGCGTGTCGAGCGTGTCTAGCTGGTAGATGCTTCGAATGAAGCCGAGGATGCCTCCTCCCATCGTGATAGGTAGAATGCGCCGCAGTTCAGATCATAACCGAGCTTTTGTGGAGATATGGATGTCGTGTAAGGATATGTTTTGCTTCGAAGCGCCTGTTCTCGGGTTCGGTCGTTCGGTTGTGGCCCTCTTCAATGTCGCGAGAATGGTTGGCCTGGTCTCGAGTAGGGTTTGTCCTTCAAGGTTCACGATGGCTTGGCTTGGTGTTGACTCGGCGCAAACGCTATACGATACTGTGTTCGACTGTATGCGGGACGCCTGTAGGTCAATTAGCACCCGGAAAGAAGCTAGATATAAATAGTCCTTACTTTGAATTTGACCGCTCAACAGTTGTGGCGTTGTTCGTATTGGAGAGCTGTCCTTGAACTATTCAAGCAAGCGATACGACGAGCGACATGGATAACAAGTGGTGGTTGTTCTAGCTCCAATTTCCCCAGAGAGGCGCTGCAAGTGGAACTTTACAGTTGCAGGCAGCTGGCATAGGGTTGTGGCAGCTCGAGCCACGTGCGTGTTGCCCCTGAGTCCTGAGCTCTCCCTCGGCCCCCGTTTTGTTGACTTTCCACTTGTCACTTTGGAACATAAAGTCCCCTTTTTGTCTGCTCCTATGCGTTGTCCCAACAGTCCAGACTCTGGTCCAAAACAATGGTACGATATTTGTGGTCGTCGTCCCTGAAGCTACCTATCTTAAGGAACATTGATTTTCTCTCAAGCTTCACCCGAGCCTCGACGAGCAAACAGAAACCACGAGTGGCAAGCTTGCCTTCTTACCGTTGCTTGTTCGAGATACCCCTGAGTGACCCGTGCCCCTTTTCGAAATCTGCCAGCACCCTGCTGGCGGTGCGGGATCCAGGAGAAGCCTGGTTACCATTCGTCGAACCTGATGTCAGCCCGTTTCTTGTAAAGTTCCATTCAGTTTTCTTCTTTCATCCGTGGGAGAGGAAGGGGTGATCTTATATGGCAGAGCCGCAATAGAAGGACGGGATCCTGTTTTCCAAATCCCATTCTGCAACACTGTTCTCAGTTCCGACAGGACGGGAGATACCCGACTTGGGTTTCAAACAAGAGATCGCCAGATTTTGAGCGAATCCATGACAAGATGATCAAATCAAGTTCTTGCCAGAGCTTCTTATTTTGGGACACATGTACGCTCACGTATAAGCGCCCTTTAAGAGTTTCATGTTCTTTCAGCCCGGCAACTTGCAGGTGTTTGGGAGACGAACTCAAACTGCAGATGAGCTGGCTACCGGTACACAAAGCCGCATATACGCAGGTCCTGGACTCTTCCCGCCCTGCCGCCCTCCAGATCTGAGTAAAGCTTGACGGGAAGATGGAAGCAATCGTCAAGCCCTACTTCTCGACAGGTCCAGGCATGTTACAGATCAATGAGACAGATGCCAATTAAGCTCATCGTCATACACCAAGCACGGCTGATGCTGCCCTATGTTCTACCAATACGCGGGCTTGGTTACCCAGCGCATTCAATTCGGGTACTTCTAGTCACTTGCGTCCATTTTGTAATTGAGCCCCCAGATCCTTGTGTGAGAGTCCCTGACTGCATTCCATCCATCGATGTAACCCCACAGGAAGGAATTCGGCGCTCCACCAAGCGGGCACCCCTCCGGCCGGCTGCCTCTCAAGAGGCCCTGGCCATCCTTGTCACAGGTGTCCTGCACGACCATCAGCGGCTGCACCTCGCTAACAGGCGGGTACCTGTAGGGGTCACCATAGCGAACTTACAGAGGGAAAGGGTCGATGTGCTGTTAGACGCCAGCTTCCCGTCCGGACATTGGTCGGAGCCGGAGGGCAGTTGAGCTTCGCGACCACAATTGCCGTCGAGTACAACAACGTTTGTTGGGAATGCAACTTCCTTCCGTGTCCCAGCCGCGGTCTGCTCTCCTGCCATCATACCTATTGTCCTTACTTTTCCTCCTTCATATCATGGTGGCATCATGTGCGCCGAGCATATAATTCGCGACTAATCGGCGACCCATATTTCCCTCTCTTGTCGCTGCTAAGCCGGCCCAACCGTAGCGGACGGTAGCGGACGGTCCACTCCGTTCCTTTATTTGATCGCCGTCACACTGTCCACGGGATCTGTTCTTGTTTTCCTGTCCCTCCCAACTTCCTCCTCAATCCTCCGAAGCCCGCCTTTTCGCGTCTTCCCTTGGCTTGGACACTCAGGCACTCCTGGGCGCCGACGACTTGGCTCAAAAAACGGTCGTTTCTTTTGTCGTCGGCACAGCTTGACCCCGAACGGATTGTGAACCTTGTTGCCCCTCGCGGCCCGACAAATTCGCAGTACCCATTCAACACCATTTAATATCATGGTCCATTTCGAGTAATCCGAGTTCCCGAAAACAGTCGACTACACATACACTTCGCTTTTCTGGTCGAACGGGCGCGATCGCTTCCCCTTTTGCGCGAACCTTCTACACCTGCATGCGGACCTAGACCGTCACCGTCATCTTTGCTTCCGGACGCGGCGCACAAGGCAGGTCCTGAGTGCTCAGGAAGATGGCCTACAACGGAGGAGGATACGAAGGAGGGCCGGGAGGACGTCAGTATGGTGGCCAAGCACCACCACCTCGAGGGCCGCCGCAGCGAGCATACACCGCTGGGCCAGGCATACCACAACAGCAGTACAATGCGCCGCCGCCTCAGCAGCAGCACTACGACCAATATCAAGAAGACTATAGCTATGGTGGTGGCTACGATGACTATGGGGGTGGTTACGATCAGGGCTATGGAGGACAAGATCAAGGTTACGGCGGACAATATGATGACCGGAATTACCAGAGAGGCCCTCCCGCTCAGGATTACCCGCAGCAAGACTATTATAACCCCGGACCCAACGGCCGCGGTGGACCCCCTCCTGGACCTCCTGGACCTCCTGCTCCCGGTCCCGGTCGAGGTGGACCGCCTATGCAAGGAGGCAGAGCTGGGCCTGGTGGTCCGATGCGCCCTCCCGCAGACAAAAACAGAGGTCCTCCGGCTCCTTATCCGCCGCGTGGTGGCGGCTACCCTCCGGGCCCGGGACGGGGTTATCCGCCTCAGGGCCCCGGTGGGAGGCCAGGCCCTCCAGATCGAACTGTAGCTTCAGATCCCAGCGGTGCGTTTCACGCTTACACATAGACTCTCTTGACGGATTTACTGACGTTATCTTAGCGAATCGCCGACCACCCATGAATGGCCCCGGTCCTGGTCCCGGCCCCGGCCCTATGAGCCCTGGAGACCGTGGTTTTGGCGGTGGTAACTTCCCGGGCCCTCCAGGAGGGCAGCGAAGGCCTGATATGGACAATGTTACAGCGCAAATGGGTGGGATGAATCTCTCGGATCAGAGGCCACCAACAAGAGGGCCTCCTGGGTCTAATGGGCCTGGACCACAACGTGGACCGATGCGCCCAGATACCAGGGACGGATATGGAAGGCCGATGCGCCCCGATACTAGAGACGGCTATGGAGGACCAGGGCCTGGACCGGGACCTGGAGGACCGCGCAAGGGGACCGCCTCAGCCTTACCGCCCCCAGCAGGACTTTCAAGATCAGCGACAAGGTCCTCCTCCTGGCCAGGATTTTGGTCAGCCTGGAGGGTATCAGGATGGTAGCTTCGGTCCTCCTGGGCGGAGCATGACAATGCCAGCAAGAGATGATATGGGATATGAGCCTCCACCCCAGAATTTCATGCACAGGAGCGACAGCGTCCCTTACAATGGTCCTGATGGACGCGGGATTCAAAGACCGAACACAACTCAAGGTGCTCGAGCGCCACCGCAAAGGGTCTACCCGTCTGAGAATGGAGCACCCCCGTTACCACAAAACAACTTTGACCAAGGGTACGGGAACCGAGCAGATATGGGTTATGGTGGCCAACAGCAACAGCAACAGCCCGGTCATGTTGATGACTACTATGAAGATTATTATGAGCGTAACGGCAACGGCGGCTACCTAGCTCAAAACCCACCCTCGGCTCAAACAGACGGCCCAAACTTCGATGCCATACCCCCTCACAGGCATAAGGAGTCTTTCGACCAGCACATGCAGCCTAATCAGATGCAGCATCAAGCCCAACGTGGACCTGGCCGCGTCCCAGAGATGTCTAGGGCCAAATCTCAGCCGGATTTGCGCAATTCACAGACGGCTGTATTTGAGATGGCTGGAGATATTCCCCCAATCCCCATGATGCCGCAACAAACTGGGGGGCCTCGGGGTTCGCTTGAGAGTCAGCATAGTCAGTACAGGCCGTCTCCTAATGCCCAACCAGGACCGCTGCCGCCAGGAGGTGGAATGCCTCCTCATCCTGTGCCGTATAGACCCGGGCAGTCTGCTCCCCCTCAAGGGCCGTATGGCCAGGATAGTCTTCCATCGCATCCTGCTCCAGTCCGACCGGGACAGATGGCTGGCTCTATGGTCAACTTGAATGACAGGCCACCTCCAGTCAGGAACTACCAGGCTGCTATGAACAGTATGCCTGCTCCCCCCCCTCTCAACAACCAACCTGGTCCTCAACCACCGCAAAGCGGTCCTAGCCCGCCGCCGCCTCCCACGAAACCAGTCGAGCCCAAGGTTACTGTGGAAGAACTAGAACACTTGCGGGCCATCGTCAAAAACGATTCCAATGACCAACAGTCTGCTCTTAAGCTAGCTAAGAAACTAGTCGAAGCGTCAGACGTCTTGGTACCGAATCTGCCTGATCCCAAGGCCCGTGCTCGTTCGCGGGATCGCTACCTTGTTGACGCCCACAAGATTCTTCGGAAGCTTGAGAAGGCTAGCAACCCAGACGCCATGTTCTTCTTGGCCGACAGCATCGGCCGCGGACTGTTCAGCAACTCCGAGCCCGACCACGCACACGCCTTCTCGCTCTACCAGTCAGCGGCAAAGCTCGGTCACGCGGCTGCCGCCTACCGCACCGCCGTCTGCTGCGAGATCGGCAACGACGAGGGCGGCGGCACCCGCAAGGACCCCCTCAAGGCCATCCAGTGGTACAAGCGCGCCGCCACGCTAGGCGACACGCCCGCCATGTACAAGGTTGGAATGATCCTGCTCAAGGGACTGCTGGGTCAGCCGAAGAACAGGCGGGAGGCGATCAGCTGGCTTAAGCGGGCAGCTGAGCGCGCCGACGCCGAGAACCCACACGCCCTCCACGAGCTCGCGCTCCTGTACGGCACCGCCGAGCCCGACGATGTGATTCTCCGCGACGAGGCATACGCCTTTAGCCTGTTCAAACAGGCCGCCGAGCTGGGTTACAAGTTCAGTCAGTTCCGTCTGGGCGCTGCGTACGAGTACGGCCTATTCGGTTGCCCGATCGACCCGCGGTTGTCTATAATGTGGTACAGCCGTGCAGCCACGCAGGAGGAGCATCAGAGTGAGTTGGCGCTGTCGGGTTGGTACTTCACCGGTAGCGAGGGTGTCTTGCAGCAGAACGATACGGAAGCGTACCTGTGGGCGAGAAAGGCTGCCATGGCAGGGCTGGCCAAGGCCGAGTTTGCGATGGGTTACTTTACGGAGGAGGGTATCGGTGTGCCGGCCGACCTCGAGGATGCGAAGAGGTGGTACTGGAGGGCTGCTGGAAGTTTTTTCTTTCTCCATACGTTGACCCCGTCGATGCATGCACTGAGAAGAGTTCATTCACTAACCGACTACGCACAACCACAGCCCAGGACCACCCCAAAGCCCGTGAGCGTCTAGAGGAGCTTAAGCGATCAGGGAAGAACGGGCCGAGAAATCGGGAGAAGATTTCCCGCAACAGAAATTCGAGGCAGCAGGAGGGTGAATGCTTGGTAATGTAAAAGGCGTAATCACACAAGGTGGAATCTAGGAAGCTGTACCTAGCGGATTATTTCCCTTTGGGAGGCATCATCGTATTGCGTTGCAGCTAGGATAGGTAGAGCACATAATCAAATGTATACCCCTTTTCCCACACTGTACTTTCAGATTGCCGCCATGTTGGCAGTGACTCAAATTGTCCTACGATCATGTTACTGTCCCAACTCTCAGCTTCTTTTCCAACTCTGTTGCCGAATGGTTCCACTTACAGCTGCGACGACGATAGGACCCAGAAGTACACGGGTCGAATAGACACTCGGCGAAATCCCCGTTATCAGCACATGAAGCCAGCCAGAATCAAATCCTCTGGCTTTTACAATTCGATACTGGTTTGTTTGTTAGTCTGTTTCTTCGATCATGGTCCGAAGAGGTGAGTTTTGGAGCTCTTATTGGCTTTTTCAGAGAGGAACTGCCCTCCGTCTGAATAGGACAATGGCAAGGGTTTTAGCACGGCAGATATGCCCTTCTCCGACTCGTTTAAAGTCCAAGATTGAAAGATATCAGTCAACGGCGCTCACACGATAGAAAGCGGAACACTGTACTATTTTCAATTAAGCTTTTGCTCTTTGTGCCAAACCAACAAGCAAACCAGGGCTGGATTGTATAGTATTGGAGATGGTGCACTCTTTCATCGTTGTTATCTCTGGCGTTATTGAACCTGGCGAGCATGCATGTTGTCTCGAGGAGATAATATCGTGATATAATTGGTTACAGGTGTGGGGTAGAATGGTCGAGTTTCAGAGTCCTGCTGGTTCACAGAAACACCATTTCCGAGCAAACGAACAGCATTCTGAACGAAAATGATCCCCATCTTGCTGAAAGTTGCCACTGCAGTTCCAGGAAGTTGAACACGCATTCGTAGTCCAACGTTAAGGCAGGTGCCATTTTCCGTCAACCACAGACATGGACTAAGGGCTCAGTGCCCTAGGTATTCAACTAAAACCTTTCACCACCGCAACCTGTCAATTGACAACATTTCCTTTCCTCTTTACTACTCTTCACTCACGAACGTTGGAATTCGAGACTTTCCCCCAAAAGAGTCGCTGACATCTTTCTGGGAAACTTGGTTTCCGATATTTTCTTGGAAACTGTTTTACAAGACTCGTCCTTTTCCGTCCTCAATCTCTTATCCCCCCTTCTATGGGTAGGACATGCGCCTGATCTTTCAAATCCCCTCGAGTCCTTCCATCTGACCCCCCAAATCGAGAAGTTCGTCACAGCCATTCCATCGGACCACACGATCCACCCCTTCCCTAAAACTCCAGCACAAGCGGCAAATTCCATCTCTTCATTTGAACGAATTGCAGCATGACTGGAACAGAAGCTTATATTACCCCTCGGCCTCGCGGGCTTCCACGAGAGATATGATGGCTCATCATTGAAAAAGCTGCCGAGGAACGTAACAGCGTTGGGAGTTTGTTTCTCCTTGCTTGCCTATGTCGAGATATGGCACTCACCGCCCTGCCTCTGACGTACGGCAAGGTTAGAGGCCCCGGTTGCACCGATGACGATACTATTTGGATCTTCGGCACCGAGTCAAACCTTTGTTTCTGGCGATCAATTATCATGTCCAGCTTGGGAAAGACTTTGTATCCATATTGCCTTTGGATCAAGACTCTGGACATCCTGGATCTCCAACCCCTACTCCTGGATCTCCAATCCCTACTCCTGGATCTCCAATCCCTACTCCTGGAACTTCTCAAGGTCCCGGATCTGCGACAAAAGTTCTATAGCCCTCCACTCGATTATCTGGACGTGCTTGACAAATCAAATGCCACCGATTCAGTCGACAAGCCCGGCTCGAAAGCCCTTCTCTTTGAGGTTACGAACGAGGTTACAAAGTATATCAAGAGCGTGGCTGATCAGGGACACGGCTCTGCCAAACTCTTCTGTCTTCAAGATCCGCACCTCGGCTACTCCACCAGCTCTGTTTACTTTCCTGTCTGGGCCTCGAGACTCGCCAGCTTGACAACCTTGCATGTCGTTGACGGAAGTTGTGTAGGGGATCACATAGCGCTGAGTCTTGCTGAGAACCGTCCTGCATTCAAACATTTGTATGTATATCAGACTCCCTTAGGTGGCTGCTCTTCATCTAGGACGCAGAGACGGGGTGTCAACCTGGGCCCAAGCCCTGTGCTGCTGAATACCGATCATTCACCTGGCTTACATGCTAATGCCATCGTTAATGAAGCGGATTCGAAAGGCTATCGGCCGGTGGGGAAGGCAAAGTGGTCAGGTTTTGCGAACAACTTCATCCTAACACACTAGGTACAGTCAAACTCAATGTAAGAGTATCGTGAATTTCAGCCAGCTAACCGAGCACAGAATCATTCAACATCCTCGAGGGACCTGTGGTTAAATGCAAAGCCCTTTTCCAAGCTCTGGATAAACATGCACAATCATTGAAAGAGCTGCGTTTGGAGTATATGACGCCTAGAGCCTTTGCATCGTTGGACCGACTCCAAAATTGCACTGGCTTGAAGACCCTCGGCCTGAGAAGCTACCTGGCTGACGAGAGTGACGCTACTATTTGGGCGTCTAATCATGCGCCAGTCTACAGTCGAATCGTGGCCTGGTTGCAGAATTGTTCTCAACTGAAAGACCTGGCTCTCTTGCATCTTCCCAGTGGTTCTCAGCTTCTTCAAGATGTTCTGAAATCACCCAATGTCCGACTTACTGATCTTTGCTACAAGATAACCGAAGTAGCCACATCGTGGTATACTTCATTACACCACCAACAAAGCCTCAGATCCTTGGAGGCAGAGGTTGATGTTCTCGATCTTCAGAACCAGGGGCCAGTAACCGGAAGGTGCGCGGGTCTTGCTAAAGGTGTATCGCAGCTACCCGAGCTTCAAGACCTGATAGTGAACGAGTACTTTCCGCCAAGGACATCGAAACTATCAGCGAAGGGGCAAAAAAGCTGGAAAAATATGCCTCGATGGAACCCTGATTCACGACGCATATCTCATGTCACTAGCGAAACTTCCGTGTCTAAAGGACCTTGACATTTCGGGGGATGCGGAGTTCACTAGTGCTGGACTCTTGAAATTTGTCAAGAGAATGGAAACGGATCCCGATGGATAACATGACGGATTCTCTTTGTCCATTGCGAAGCAAGGCGTTGAGATTGCCGAGGAACATGAAGTCCACCTGAGGGACGAAATCAAAAGAGCGTTCAACGGAAAGTTCTCGATCGAGTACATAGACTCTGACGGGGAACCGTACTGGCATGCCGGCTCCATGTAGGATCAGTACCTTTGACGATTGAAATGAAATTTATAGACAGAGCATATCTCTCAACAGCTGAATCCGAGAGTGTCTTGCCCCCAATCTCCATAGAATTTGAAAGAATGAATTCAATTTCCAAATGCTTCTTTCCGGCAGAGGCTGACAACCCTAACCCTGTTCCTAACAAGACCATTACATAAGCTCCCCAAAATTTTAACTGCATCCCGTCATCGGAAACTTTTCTTCCCTTCATTGTTTGCATCCATCAACGCCCCTCATCCATCCCTCCAGTCTACCACTATGACAGCATCAAGAGACCATCTTGCCGACCTCGACCGGCACATGCAGCTGCTCGAAGGCAAGGTCAATCAGCTTCACGCATCTCTGACCCACTGGCAACAAACCTACTTTGAGTATGCTGCACTCAAAGAGGAGGTCGACAGCCTGCCCAAGGATCCATCTCCCCGCACGGAGCTTGATCGTATTCGTCGCGACTATGACGGCACCCTCATCACCAAGAAAGAAATCAACGAGATCTTTGGCGAAAAGGATCTCAAGGAAGCGGATCAGATCTCCAATGTCCTCGGTCGCCGCCTCGACTATGTCGAGAAAAACGTCGATACGCTGACGAAGCTTGTCGAAACCGAAGAGAACAAACTCGCGGCGGCAAAAGTCATCGCCAACCCTGACGGCGGCACCGATGAAGAGACTGGCCTTCCCATCACCGACATCATTGAGGAGCTGGATGAAGAAGACAATGTCGTTCAGTACCGCCTGCAGAGCGGAGGCGAGGTCAGCAAGAGAGTCGAGGAAGCCCTCAAGAGGGCTGGGGTTGAGAAGCTCCCCGAGACCGAGGCCGATCTTTCCCAGTCACAAACCGTCTCCAGCACCACAAAAGAAAAGCCAGTAGTCGAGCAACAACCTGCTGCTGCTGTCTCTGCCTCTGCTGCCTCCGCGACCGCCAGCGAATCCTCGAGCACGGCACCCACCACCCCATCTACGAGCTCGGCAAAGAGTGTCACGTTTGCCGACGATACCAACTCCGCCGACCAGTTGCCGACCACAGCCGAAGAACTCAAGGAGCTCATGCAAAAGGTCAAGGAACAGGAGGCAATGGACATGTCTAAAGCTGTGAGACCCGAGGACGAGCCGGAGGACGAAAGCCAGTTGCGCGCCGACATGCTTCAGTACATGCAGGAGGAACTCCATCCCATCGTGGCCGAACTCGAGATCGACGAAGGGTCCACCGAGGATGAGTACGCGGATTGGGATGAGTACGAGGAGGAGCTTGAGGAGGAAGACGACGATGACGAGGACGAGTTTGGTCGCTCCAAGCACAGCGTGATCACCAGTGATTACATCCAGCGTATGCAGGAGCTTGAGAAGCGCTTGGGCTTTAAGTCTGCGTTCACTGTCGAGCGTCAGAAGCCGCAGCAACCGGATGACGAAGATCGCAAGGATGCTGGTGGCGGTTACATCACTGTCGTCAGAGAACCTCGCTCAACACCGGCATCGGCACCGGCGCTGGCACCAGTACCAGAGACCGCTCAGCCAGAGCCCGCCACCTCGTCTATGAGTCCAAGGGGAAGGCAAAGGAGAAGAAAGGTGTGCGGTTCGCCACTGAACTGGACATTGCCCCTGAGGAAGAGACCCAGTGGGCTGTAAAGTCGAAGCCCGGTACGCCAAAGGTGCCCTTGGTCAATCCCATTGGGGATATTGTAGAACATGGAGCTGCGGTCAGTGCCCCGATAGTGCACGAGCAAGAGTTGGAAGAACCAGAGCCTCCCAAGCGTGTGTCGCGGTTCAAGAAAGAACGTGCATCAACCGGAAAGGCTGCTGCTCCGGCCGTGGCATCCCCGCCTCCTGGTCCCCTCCAGCTGCCTCAGCGTTTCCGCGAGTCTCATTCTACCCCTCCTACCGAGCCCACACCTCCCGAGGATCAGATTCTGGCCAACCAGGTTGTCGAGAGAAGTGTCTCGTCTGCGCCGCAGGAGCCGGATGACATGGACGATGAGCTCCTGTACCGGGCGGCGGCGGTTGAGTACAACCGGTTGCGGAATCGCATGATCCAGAAGGAGGGAGGCTTCATGAAGCCGGAGGAGGAACAGCCCATCGTCCCGCTGGATGAGGAAGAGGGCGGTCCGCCGCGCATGAGCAGATTCAAGGCGGCTCGGTTGGCCAGATCATGATGGCCCGCGTGTTGATTTGATACCCCTCCATGTTTTGGCTCGTCAAAAGAGGTTGTCGGCAGTCTCGATTTCTGTCAGAATCGAACTATATCAGCATCCTCGTTCGCCCGTTGGCATCCATCTGTTCCTGACGACTCCCTGTTTGTGACCAAGCACCACATTTCTCTTACCTTTCTGGACAATTCAATGCAACTGTGTGTTGTGGACTAACATCTAGGACATTTCTCATTTCGTGAAACCCAGACCCCCCCAAAGAGACATGGTCCATTCATTGCTCTTGATCACTTGCACTTTGGACAACGAGCTGATTGCGGCTCACACACCTTTCGGAACGCTTATTAATCTGACAATTGATGGATTGCAGCTGTCAGTCTGCTTTCTCATTACTAGCGCTTCCAATATTAAATCCGAATGGGCTCTCTGACGCCATGATCTATACACCGTGGTCTCGGCGATTCGTTTCACCCATCACATCTCACATCTTTTGCACACTACCATGTGTCAAACACCAGCTTCAATAGACATCTGCTTGCATGACAATAAATCAATGGTTGGTTTCCCATTAGCTATCGTTGCGTTCTTCGTTGGTGCCTTCATGTGTTAGATGTTCCTGATAGCGTGACAAGTTTCTTTAGTCAGGAACTGCTCCTCTGAACCCATGTGTTGCGCATCCCCTCGATCTACGGAGAATGATTTTCACGGCTCTGGCTCTCCCAGGCACAACATAGTCCCATGGATGACAAAAAACGGAAGATCACCACAACAGTCGCGAGGAAGCGTCCAGTGGCTGCGCTTTCACCCTTCTGTATTTCAGAATAAAA